TCAGTAGCGGCACTGTCACACACAATTAGATGATAGTGAGAAACGTGATTCCATCCTGAGAGTGTAATGAGGAGCCCGTCTGCTGACCCACCGCCACCTCTTCCAGCTGGCAAATACTGCAACTGTGTTGAGGGGGATGTTGACTCAAGCATTGTCCACATGGTGCACTGGTGCGATTGGCAACGTGATGAACGTAGGGGCAAAGATGGTCGTTGACCTTATCATGTGACGGTGCTTTGACCATAATTCCATGCTTATGGAATTGGACAGAGTAAAATAGTGGGGGAAGAGACCTCATTTCTCCCTTTTGTTGTCAGCACACAATCCAAATGATTGGACGAGTCCATCCTGGTACATCTGTATTTAATGTATTGATTTGGGTTGGGATTTGACTCATTACACTCTTCTAAAACCACGCGTCATTTTGGCATTAAGAGAAGTATCTCTGTAGTGGTAATTAGTAAAGTCTAGCCATACATATAGCAAATTTGTAAGTGTACACACTGCAATCTAACGGAAGGCAATATAGGCCTAAAGTTCGTAACTAGCATGCAAGGATTTGTTTAGGTTGCATCAGCTAGTCACTCGTCGATAAGCACTGCGATAGTTAGACCGAGCAGAAATGTTTTTTGATCTAATTTTCAAGTGTTTCCAACACACTTTATTGTCGTGTACTTTGAATGACATATTTGGACTTAATAATTCCTTACGTATTTGCTCTACTCCTTCTACACTTCTTGACGAAAATGCTCTTTCTGATTGTGTAAGTAATTTTGCTGACATAATGCCTACTTCTTATATGCTTTAGAAAATGGCTAGCAATGTGACCTACGTGAACCAGCTCTTTCAGACATTTAATGTTACCGCTTTCCAAAATTGACGACAAAATTTGCTACCATTTAATCTAGAATCTGAAAACAAACAACTTTATTTAACCTCCATTGATTAACCAAGCAAACTTCATACGCATTTGCTGATTATCTCGAACCTTCCCACTATTATTTCGTTGCTTTGGCAATGCTACTGCAGGTTATCAAGTAGCAATAGGCGAATGAGAGTTGGGAACGGTGGCGCTGAATCGGGCATGAAATACAGCACAAATTTGACTTGTGACGAATGTACAAAGCCATTTTGCATGCGAATCTTAAGCGTGCATTAAATTACGTGCAAGCCTAAAGAAACGATTGGTCTTATCTGCAGTAATAAAAATTGGCAATTGTGTCTGCATGCCAAAATCTACCATACCATCGCGAATGGGAATTAGGGAATTGCATTGTGAGTGTAATGGTGTTCACCGAGACCTTGGATGACATCAACAACATTAATACTAGCGCAAATATGTACTTTAGTGGATAAGGGATTGTGAGGCATTAAACATATGTATTAAATAAACTAAAAGTATTTTACTATACAGAATGTCTACTAGTGTGTTTTCAAGCACACCTTAATCAGAGATTGCCTATTTTTGAAATCGCACATTTAATATTGACGTCATACATACTACAACCCCTGCTCTTCATCGCTTCGTAAGAGCTGGTTGCATCAAATCGCACCTCAAACAGAGCCATCGAGTTTTAAATTAGCAAATCTAATTTGCTTGTTCTTGGTAAGAGGAGGTACAATTTTTAGATGTATGTGGCATAACTTTCAATGCTACTTTTCTGATATGGACTAATAGGGTTGAATTTGCTTAGGAATCGCATGGAAAACGTATTCGGTATAGCTTCTGTTTTGAACCAGTTGTCGACTGATAAATCGAATGCCTTCGCCTTGAATCAGTAAGACTGGCCCAAAGAAAGTTATAGAAGAGGGTGTACAGGAGATGAAGGCGGTGATTTCTCTGCTGTCGTGTCATGTGTACCTCAAGCAGGTCCAATGCTTTCCCAATTTCATAACCAACCAGGTATTGTAAGCTAAGAAAATAATTTGCACTACTGCTGAATCGTTGGAGGAGGGAATGAATTTGTAGGAAATGCTTCCTTTCCAACCCACTTTAGTAGTAAAGACAGCATCTCCTAGGCTTTGTTTCAGCAAACGAAGGGGCCGAAATTGACCAAATTGTGGAAATTTAAATAATTTATGGTCGACTGAGCCCCAAAAGCATGCCTAAGAAAGCAGGCAAAGGTACTTTCAGAAAAACATCTTTTAAAGTATCGCAAGAGTAGGCGAGTAGTATGGTGGATTAGTTGTCAGTCATTCTGTCCCAACATCCATCGTAACTGCCCTCCTTGGTAATGATGTATTCCTCAATTTCATGACTGAGTTCTCCAAATGAGGGTCGCTGTCCAGGCTGCTCCTTCCAGCAGGAATTCATAATGTTATACACTGCTGCTTCACATTCAAAACCTTCACTGGAAGGGGCAGGGAGACGTCCGCCCCCTAAAACAAAATCCTGCACTTGCACACTCGTGCGACCTGAAATGAATGAAGATGGGAAACTCAGGAGGAGATTGACCACAGTACAATTTCATGCAGTAGAAGGGAAATTATTCCCTGTTGTTGGCATATACCCCACATTGGTTAAAATAACCCACCCTTGTAAGGCGTTCCTCCGTAAGTTAGAACTTCGAACATCAGCACCCCGAAAGACCACACATCAGCTTTGCTATTCGGCTCGTAACCGCTCCTCATTGCCTCAGGCGCTGTCCAGCTCACAGGAAAAGCACCTCAAAGGAGAGAAAACTGGTAAGAATGCCAAGGAGTACTAACAAAATAAACACATTGCACGTGGCCGGACTTCCATTGCTAGCACTCAAGCACCCTGACGAAGATGCACATTAGAGTACCAGGAAATGATAATTTGGAATGATACAAGTGCCGAAGTTAATGCTCAAATCTTGCATGAATAAGTTGGGTTGTGCATAGCTATTTGACAATCACATCCGCAAAATACTTTACTCGACCTAACACTCACGTCAGTGGTGCACAAAGCATTGTCATTGCAGGGGAAGTAGAAAGGTCTCCATCCCCTGTATTTAGTGCATCATAAGTAAGCGGGAGTCTCGAAATTCACATTACCTCCCCTTAGTTATCAATGTGTAAGCTGAAGGAAGTATATTGACTTGCCAAGATTGAACGACCGGTGGGATCCTAGCGACAAGTTGTGCAAAGGCGGCTAGCCATCAGCTCTACTTTCATTATTAGCAGGGTTGCCTCTTATGTGGACCGCAAGCATGAATGCTAAAGTTAATGCTCGAAACTGCGTGACATGCTCTTCATCGCTCCCTCACATCCAGCCGTAAGCACATTGCATGAGTTAAACAATACTGGTGAAGCTGTGGGATGTTTCTAGTCCGAGAACAATGATATCTCTCGGTTTTTAATCAGCAGTTACAGAAATCAAAATGCGATGAAAACTAGCTCTGTATGGCAACCACAATACAGCTGCCCTGAAATGGCAGGTATTCCTCTGACACCCTGGTAGCACATATCTCAATGCAGTACCAAAGTCGATGCAAACTGAGGTGGTCCAGCAATGGGCAAGTGTGATGCTTCTCTACCACCTAGAGTAAAGATACACTCAGACTTACTTTCAGTAAATTTCTGATTGAAATCATGGATTCTGGTCAACCCGAAGTCGGCGATCTTCACGGAGCCATCCTGGTCAACAAGCACATTCGCCGCTCGTAGATCTCTGTGCACCACGCCCACTTTCTCCAGATACACCATGCCCTTCACGACCTAGTCGTCCAGTCAAACAAATAAAGGACACGTGTATCGGTGAATAGCCTGCACTTGCCATGGCACACGCCTGCTTTGTGGTGGGTTTCATGCAATTGCAGTGGTGGTAAAGATTTCAAATGACAGAATCAGTATAATAAAATGCAATCTTTCGCCCATCTTTCCATCACATGAAGTCTTCCCATTGTGTGAAGCACCTAGTGCTGACGGCTAAAGTGAGCATTTGGGCCAAATATGCTCAAATTCCACTGCTTCAAATAATCCAGGCAGTTCAATCCAGTGGATGTGAGTTGTTCAGGCTAATCGACTTGCGGTGTTCATTGGGTAGCATCACAACCACATCACATTGAACCTAACATCAAATGAGGAAACGGTGGGAGGAGGATGCTCACATAATCTCATTTGGCTGGTTTGTTGCATCACAGAATGACCTAGTATCTGCAGAGATGCACATGAGGAAGAAACAGTAAAAATGCAGTGACAAAAACGCAAAATAATGATGCTACGTTGGCGACCCAGCGTTTTGTGCATGGCACATCTGCCACCACTCACCTCATCTATGAATTCTCCGATAAAAATAGCTCCACTGAGAGCGATGCATTTGTTTTCGTCATCCATTTGCCACTCTGCATGACTTTGTGTTCTTGTGCGTGTGCGAAAACGGCATCAAAAATCTCCACTGCTTGGACTGCTTTACAAAGATTACATCGGTGCCTGCTATCGTCACTCCAGCGCTCACTTCAAATGTGCCATAAATTTGGAGAATGTTTGCGATGAGATGGCTCACCGAAATGCTTAGATGTGCTTGCGACACATCATCTCCCTACAAAATTTGTGTGCAGAGATGAAACCATACTATGTGTGCCGCACTCTCAACAACTTTCAACTTCAAAATTTCATCAATTCGGCTGCTCAACCACACCAATTACCAGTCCAGAAATGCAACTATTGATGCCAAAATGGGGTGTAGTTAGGCGACTCTGTGCTGAATATTGTAACTTGAGTGTGGCTGCAAGAGGTTGGTGTGGTTCCATCGGTGAAATGGCTCATTGTCAAGCGAATGGAATCATGAGGACTCCATGCTCAATCACACGGACATGGTACAACTACGGTGAAGGTGAAACGGATGAAAGATATGAAAGCAAGGAGAAGGAGTTTACGGCAAGACACCCTACAAGTGCATGCAAGCAATCAGGTCAGCATCTATCCCCACGGCCACAGTCATCAGGATTTCAATCACACTAGCGTGCCGTGTGGACATAATGCTTGTGTCAACATTCCCCTCAACACAGTTGCAATATTTGCCAGCTGGAAGAGGTGGCGGTTCAGTAAATGGGCTCCTCATTACACTCTCAGGATGGAGTCAAATTTCTTAACATCGTCTAATTGTGTGTCCATGGATGTGTGTGTGTGTGTGTGCGTGGGAGTAGGAAGTACTTTGTCCAGTCAATAGGCATACAGCATCTCAATGAGAACTCATTCCATACCCACTACTTTGTGCTACGCATGGCCATCCTGTCAACGCAGATTGGCAGGCGTGTCTTGGTGATGGCAATCACATCACACCGTCAAGTACAGACAATACAAAAAAGTGGCTGCTGATGCCCGTGTGTTAATGATGATAGCTGTGCAGCACCAGCTCATGCAACGCATCCTGTTTGCATTCCCAAGACAACTGGCGATGAGTGAATGAAAGGTGGGTGGGATTGGTGCAGACGTAAGCAGATATACCCTCCTGTCAACACTGCTACAAAGTAACAGTCGGTGCACTTGTTTACGTTTTGTCATTTTAGAACCAGCTGTAAAATACCATTCTTCTTCTTCTGCCTCTCCTTCCTCTTCCTCCGCTTCATCGTGTTTGATAGAAGAAGAAGCGAAGGAAAAGCGTTGTGAGATTTCCTGCCACTCAATGTGTGACAGTGTCGCCTCTGTTTCACAAAGCGATAAATGGGAATTGGGGGAAGGTAGTAGAACAGTGGTGTACACCAACCTGATCAATAATGCTGATGAGTTGGCGGTAGTCGAGAACTCGTCGATCAACCTTCTGGAGGTAGTCTCGAAGAGCACCGTTGGGCATGAACTCAGTGATGATGAGGACTCTCCCGTCTGGCGCATCACAACAGAAGCCGAGAAAGCGTACGATGCGTTGATGTGACAACTTGTGCATCACCTTCGCCTCCTCACGAAAGGCTGCGTCGTTTGTGAGGTCAAGGCTCTTCTTCACTGCCACCTCCATGCTGAGTATGTGACCACGGTAGACCACACCAAAGTTGCCTCTTCCCAGTTCCTCACCCAGGTGTACGTCGGTGTATGAGATGAAGCAATCCTTAAAACTCAAAGGCGGTGGCACTCTCCGGGGACGCGCCTCAATCAGACCCACCTCACCGTCGACAGGGCATGCTGAGTGAGAAAAAAGCGACAGGAAAATGGTAGGAGTGCTGAAAGAACAGGTCCTCTCTTATCGCTCACTCTTACTTTTCTTCAAGATGTTTTGCATAGACTAATGAAACATTTTTTGCAATACGCTAAAATGCTATAGACTGCCGCCTCGAGCGGGTTACTGCACTAAGGTACCATAACCTCGCTGATATGTAAAAATGGTATCCTTCACTCAATCGGCGACTGCTTTCAACCAAATGACTTGGACAATCTTTCATCCGGAGAAAGATACTTCGTGTCCAACGCTTCGGTTAAACAATTTTGTAGTAATAGAAGTGACCTGCATGCGAATCGCACTTCAGCAAACATTTGCTGACTATTTCTGCAATTTGTAGTTCATGGCGCGAGTCTGCAATCATCAGTAAACGCATACCACTGGGCAAAGTGTCTCAGAACCGCTACCCGTCAAACCAAAGTATCATGGAACGCTAAATCAGAATACATAAGAGTCTGAACAAACACCTCACGTAAGATTAGGATGTTGCCGCTTTGGGCACACAATTTATGGCATCATGGATTGTAACAAACAAAGTTGCGTCTGTTTGTACCCAAGGATGTTCAATGTCCACGGAAAGAGATGGTGTCGCATAAAAATCAGCCAGACGTCCACAAAAATGCACTTCTCGGAGGGACAAGCAAGCTGGCCTCTTTAAAGCCCCTATCGTGAATGCACGTCGCAGACATCGCAGACTGGCAATATTATTGCATATTGGGTAACAAAGGCACATTCCTAATGCATTTCTCATATTGCATGTGTATTTCCAAGGCATGCACGGATGACGGTAGACTGGCTTGGATATCGTCCAACTTCGCAACTCCACGAAATGCTCCTCATGCCTGGATGTCATGGAAGAGGATGCAGTGTCCAGTGTCCTACAAGTGCTTCTCACAATGCGACCGCATCACACAACAGCATAACTAGAATAAATTGAAATGTAACAGGTGAACAAGAGGGACATTGTGACACTACCGCGTCAAGAGGCAAAATCATCAATGACACCTGAACACTTTGAGGACTTTCTGGCCAGTGCAACAGCTGAGACAAGTCTTTCACAACGTTTACTGCAAGAGTTCAAAAGGGATAATGTAAACCGGCTTTGTGATTCGTGTTTCCAATCTGAACGAAACAAGCAGCACCGACAAGGCGATAACGATTTTACGCCTTCGCACACATTCACAATGGCTTGTAGAGTCGTCTTGCTTCGACAAATTCGGCAAGTCGATAGGTATGCACAGTTGAGGCACACAACCACTTGATGTGATACGATTACACAGAAGGACCCTTCTAAGTAAGTGTCAGTTTTACAATTGAGTTGCAGTGACCGCTTTTGGAGCGACTCCTGTCGTTCCACACACGACATCATTCACCACACCTCGGCATCACTTTCACAGATCAGGTAGAAGAGTTCAAAATGAAACAGTGAAATTCACTTTGGATAGCGCAGCACAAAGTACGATGAGCTAGATGTTTCGCAGGTGGCATAATTTAAAATGAATTTGATAGTATGCCTATTTCCAGTGTTGAAAACTTCACCCATCAATGAAGGTTGCAAATGAAGGCCACCTCTTTCTGCATTACAAAAGCTGTTGCATGCAGGTTAAGTAGACGCACGTCAGCCTGAAGGGCATTACTTTCACAGACCAGGAAGAAGCGTTCAAAATGAAACAGTAAACTTCATTTGTGATAGTGCAACACGAAGTACGAGTACGTGAGACGTTTCCCAGGTGAACGCATGTCAGCCTGAAGGGCCACCGGATTCATCCGTCTGCTTCGTAATGATTAATTTAATGTGCTTATCGCCAGCCAAATAGTTTTCTCTTACTTCGGCGTAGTTTAGTATGCTGGTATTATCCTTTAATTTATTGCGCTTAACATTCATCATGATATCATTGTGCAACTACGAAAACAGAGCAAATTTATACAACAATGCTCTTTTCTACAAAACAGTTCACAGTTTTCGCTTCTCAATTGTTCAAATCCAATGACAGCTGCTTAGGTGAATATGGCACCAATTTAGCCTACCCATTCTTGACGATGGTGACTTACAGTAGTAGTGACTGATCAATTCGTCAAGGGAACGAAAAGGTGTTGCCTCGCTAATGTAGAATTGCCCTGTGCTCTCGTTGTAATACACCCGGTAATGTCTGATTCTGACCCCGTTAACGCGGACGGAAAGACAATATGGGCTGCCGGGATCTGAAAAGGACAATGCAGACTTAGAAAGACGGCTGTCCAATTGCATGCTTTTTGTGCAAGCACTCTGCTTTCAGTCAAATGGGCATATGCATGCTAGAGTCTTGTCTCAGGATTTCGCCAAATTACTTCACTTTTAGGATCTATGTGATTGTGTGTGCATTGCTGCACACCACAGCACACTTTGGACAGTCTGTCAGGAGTATTTCATTCAGCAGCCATTCACCGCCTACTTAACCAAATGCATCGTGATTAATCCACTTCGCGTAAGTAAGTGTGAAATTGCATAATAGACGGCTAAATCCTACTAGCGTTGGATGTAATTGTGCAACTTCATGGAACAATGCAAAGCTGCGAAAGGGCAATTTGAGGTAGGTGCTTACATGTGCATGGTCGGATGATATATGTGCCAGATTGGACTCCGGGCATGAGAAGTTTGCGTTCTGCACCCATACGACCGACATCATACCAAGCTTCAAGAACATTAGAGAGAGACATGTCGGATGTGACGTAGTTCGGGGGTATAAGGCCTGTCTTTTGCGTTCGCAAGTTCGTTGCCAACCACCAATCATCCGTGTTGTCGACCACCGTAAGAAGATCACCCATGGTGAAGCTGCACTCGTCTGGTTGTGTGGCCACGTAATCGTAAATTGCTTGGACTGTAAATGGCTTTGTAGGTTTCGCGTATCTGTTGGCCTGTTCCTCCGGTTGATTGCATTGCGGACTTAGTGGTTTGTTGGGATTTAGAACAGCTGTTGGTTCTGTGGGTAAAGGATTTGGTCTAGGATTACGCTTGGCTCGTCTTTTGTCACGCCAAATACGAAAGCGTCTACGGACGCCCATTCTTGGAAACTAAAACTGTCACAAAAGTTATGCAATTTTCAGATGTATGCGTACTAAATTAAAAAGGAACATATAATGGGACAACTAGAAGTAGGGGTGCACTGGAAATTTTAAAGGTGGACGCGAGTATGGCGATGTGTATGTTGGTCTTAACATAGGAATAGAGCCTTCTTAGACTAAAATACTAACATTAGTGTTGTAACGGCATGCACTCTCGTGTACGCTAGTAATTCACTCTTCTAATGCTCATTTGCACCATTACCTACTTGAAGGAACTACCTGTTCTGGTAGCAGTTATGATAGCTTCTGATGACCAGTAGGCTGCAAGGTGCAAAAATGCAAAAGTGATACAGAAATGTAATTTCTACACTGGTAAAATGGACAAACATACAAGTTTCACAAAATACAACTATTGCAGGAGCACTGAACTGCCGATGTTAAAATCGGAAACAAAGATTAACAACCTTGAAAATTATGCATTTGATAGGCATAAACGGAAAAAATATTTTCTAATAGTGAAAGTACTGTGTCCAACAATCTAAACGGATTACCTTCAAATTACAACTGTGAATTTTACCTAAGACAGATTTTGGCAGAATCGTTAAAGTGAAAGTACAAGAGCCGCATAATGAAGACCGATTGAAATTCATCGCTACATTAAAAAGGCTCTTTAACCAAAGCAAGAGATGTTTGAAAGAAGAAGGCCATTTCTTTACTGTTTTATGTTTATAGCTGTTATGAAACAAATCTAAATGGTGGTGGTTGTTATTTTGCAGAAATACATAAATGCATACAGGCGAATTTCGCTTACAGATATTGTGTATGTACATGTGCACACACACACACACACGTTTATGTATATGTATATATGTATATTTGCAATACGTCGATTGTCTGGTTGACTACTGGTTCTCGTAAAGGACTACTTAGTGTCCTTATCATTGGCTGGCCTTGCGTTCATGCCGTTGGGCCAAAATCCTTCTGCATATTGAGTAGCCATTTTCTGCCCGGGCTGTATGCATGTGTGTGCTGGATGTGATTTTGGCAAGGGATAATGCATTTAAGCCTGTTACCTCCAAGGCTACTCCCAAAGTTGACCCAACGTTACCAGATCATATTTCCGATCACACTTGCAGGTGCGTATTCACTATTTACCTAGAATGATGTGCTAGTGGGAAAGTGTGGAAAGTGGATTGTTTCCTTTCCTCCTCTTTCTTTGCCAGTCACGCCGGTTCTCCCTCGTTTGAATTTGCCCTCTACGCTCCCCTGCATCTCCACAGCCATTACCTCGATCCTTCGTTGCATTTCATCCACATTTCTTTCCACGCACCTTCCTTATTCACCTCTTCCACCGCCTCCTTCGTCAATTTATATTCACCTTCCCTCTAATCTCACAGATTGCCTACTCGCACATTGCCCCAGTCACTACTGTAATCATCTTCACCGTCTTCTCATCACTTCTTGCACCACCTTGCTCTTCCTCCCATCATCTCCTTCTCCACTTTATCTCACTCTTCTCTCACGACGTATAGGGTCCCTGATTCATGCCTTCTCTCTCTAGCTGAGTTCCATCATCTTTCCTCCTCTAGCTCCAACTCTCCAATTTAGCCTCTCCTCCACCTCTTCTCGTCCCTTCTTTCCAAAGTCCCAAATGCGTCATCTCCATAACACTGCACCTTCAGTCTTTCCTTCCTACTCTCCCATTTCCTCCTCTTCATATTTCATTGCTTACACAGTCTACTGAATCTCTGCTCCGCCTCCATTCCCCTCCATTCTTTTGCCTCTTCCACTTCAAATACCCGCTTATATCAACAGCGTATTTTTGCTGAGGATACTCCTCCACTTCTGATTATCTCTTCTCATTTCCTCTCCACTTCCTTCCCATCTCCTACGCAGTTGCCTTCTTGACCTGCACACACTTTACTGTCGCATTAGGTTCCAATATCATGATGATGTTACTTCTCCCACACTCTTAACCATTTTTAACCCCTCATTCCAGCACAATTCAGGTAGACACCTCTAATCATTCTTCTGTGGTTTCTGTTCTATAATTACCATGTTTACTAAGTGCTTTATTTCACAACCCATTCTCCTCCTCCTCCTCCTCCTCCTCCTCCTCCTCCTCCTCCTCCTTCTCAGCCTGATAGACTACATACGCCTCACCCATTCTCACTTTTATACTCAAGCGACTGCGAGTATTTGCTGCCTCATGTATCATGTGCTATTGAACACTAATAGATCAGCACCAATAACAAGCAAATACACTATTGCTAAAAAGTCATCTGTAGTTCAATATTATGGTGTATACTGAACGAAAACATGTATATAATGAAGACATGATGAGAACATCCTCAGTCCCAAGATTTACAATATTTTTAGACTGGGCTTTGTGCGTCGTTATTGCACTTCAACCGTTTAGCAATGACTTCGCTTTTGACTTTGCATCTTCATGAACTACACTAACATCGCTTTCCAAGGTCGTCGCGCGTGCGTATACCTGCAAGAGGTAGTCAGGCTCAGCTCCTTGCGTGGCAGTGGATTTCTCCTGTATTCATTCGCCAATATGGCTAACGATTGAGGACGACCAGGTGTTCAGCGATGGGTGTCTTTTGTGTCGTGGCTCCAAATGACGGAAATGGATTGCTTTCATGTCTGCGTACGTCCTTGCGAGTTGGTTCAGAGTAGATAGATGGATACGTCTGAGGCGTGGGGAAGTTGGTAGTCATGCAGTCAAAATTGCGAAATTACTCAAGATGGAAGGTCAGTCAGGATGTCATGCTTGTCCTTTTGATTCATTCGTATGTGTATATACTAGGGTTTTTGTCCACCTCCCCTATATTTTAAAGACTAAATGTACTCGGTGTTCTTCGTTTATGTTTATTTTGACAGGTTTAGATCTTCAGGAAGTGGTTGAACTTGCCCATTTCATTAAGTATTTTTTGCTCTGCTTAATCTGCCTTGTATTTGGAGCGATTGTAATAATTATTTAGGGATTAGTTTTCCGAGACAGGTTATCTATTTTAACCGCTATGGCGAAATTGAGAGCCTGTTGAACAAAAGCTTGGATTTCTCCTGCCTTCTGTTTTTCGTGTAGTCCACCTAACAGGATCTCCTCATAAAGAGATGGCCTTCTAAAGGAGCTTCAGGACTCCTTTATTTGAACATCGGCGAAATGGGTGTGGGGTTAATGGCGCGGTGAGCAAATATCCGTTTGGTCATTTGATGTCCAATGCTTCAGCTGTACCCATTAGCAACTTTTCGGGAATTAAAGTTTTAGTGCTATGCTTGGATGTTCAAGTGAAGTATTTTCATCTTCAGCTATTCGTTATAGTCATGAAACCTCTTCAGGGCAGCTGATGCGCTTTTTACCTGAAAAATTCGGTCTGTCCAAGAAAATCTGTCTTAGCTGTATGATTTGTACATTGTGTCCTAGCGAATAAAAGATTTCGTTTTGATCTTTTCTCAATTAAGTTCAAGTTCCTTTGTTATGTGCGGTGTTGGCTGCTTTTGAAATTGTTCAGGAGTCTAACTAATATTGTTGCTTTGTTTGACGGATTTTGGCTTTTGATACTTTTCTATCTACCTCGATTGAGAGTTCCTATTCCCTCCATTATAAAGGAAGAAGGAGTTCCAGCATTAGGTGTCATACCACGCTCCATGGCTGCTGTGAGCCTTATTGCCTTATTCTGCTCTTGCAATGCATTAGCTAGTGGTGGAGCAATCACGCAGGTGATTGTAGTTACTGCTGCGCCGACGGGAGTGGTGTAGCTGTTTCATCGAATACAAAGTTGATAGCATCAGGCATTCTGTTAACGATTGTTCCAATTGAATCGTTTGAAGCAGAAAATCGAGGACATTGACTGATTCGCGGTCATTTTTCTGCATGCGTGAGAAGTACTGAGGTTGTTCTGTTTTCCCACTTGTTGGTAAAGTAGGCGTGTTAACTCTTCCGGACCAACACATGTGACTCGGTGAGAAACCCTCACCAAAAAAGATCCCCACCTGTTTGTGGTTAACGGGATTTGCATGATGGAGAGAAGATGATGTGACTGAAACAGTAGATACCACATGGAAACCGATAACTTTTGTGCATAAGTGCAGCCTGAAGTAGGGACTGCACAAATGATCCTCGAATTGCTGATTGAATTCTGTTTTCAATATCATATTCTGATTGTGTATTTATTGGAAGAATGAAGTTGTTAAGTTTACCTTCATTTCGGTGATCTGAAATAGAAAATGTTCTGACATGGAATTGCAAAGAATGATTTATGTATGAAAATTTGAAATTACCTCATTGAAGTGTGGTTTATCTAACTCAATCGACTCTGGCGCTTTGTGTACACTTTTTTGTGCCTCAAACCGAAAAAGTAGATTTTTTTGTAGCAGCACTTTTGTAAAATGTCTACTCTGTGCGCTTTCATTTGTAAAGCTGACTTTGAGTAGTTCAAATTTTACCATTAAGTCATTGTGAAAATCCCAAGGAGTCTATTGAGCACAATTCTAAGGCATTATTGAGAGGGTTAGGACTTGCAGTTGTTAGAAATGCTTGCAAAATACACATCCATCAGTGTTTATTGTGAGGGGAGCGCACAGTTTCACGATGAGCCAATTCAAAGTCATTATAGCTTTTTTATGTTACATTTATCAGTAATCTTCAGTGCTACTCCAAACCAAAACAAATCGCTCCTGCATGTCTGAGTTGCGGCTCATATATGTGCATTTAAGGGAAAGTGGAAGCGAAATCGGTAATGGAAGATCCGCCCCTATGTCAATATCCTTGGCAAGTGAAGCAAGTGGAAGCACAATCGGAGAGGCAAGTGTCCGAACCAACCATGGAGGTTGAGGCTGCCACGGGAAGTGCATCTGTCCAACCCGAGACGAGTGTCGAAAAGCCCTTAGATGATGCAACAGTGCCCACAGAAGGGCCTTCAGATTCGGCGTCAAACGATGACTTAGAGGTACTGGAACGCTCCCTTATTGCCATGGAGAGGGTGAGTTGTTTCCTTGGTCAAGTACCTAGTGTCGAAAAGCTCCTTCCTCTCGATGGATTATGTTTTGTGGCTCTAAGTATATTGAGGAACTGCAATTTGAGATGCTCAGACTTCGTCAGGAGGATGAAGCGAAACGGCTGAAAATGGGTCAACGTCCTCTCCCTTTCGCGGAGGTCGTAGCGGGTATGATAAATTATTTGCCGTTTTTAATTACGCATATATGATTGTCAGCGGATTTGTGTAAGCAGCGACGAGTATCGAACTAGCGAGTGCAAACTGCCTAGGGAGAAAAATTTACTTGCATCGATGGCGAATAGGTGCAATCCGACCCTTTTTAAGTGAAGTTTGTGACTGCCTCCAAACTTTTCTATGCTCATTTTGAGTTGGTCCGAGACCGCTTTCATGTGACCCATTGCTCGCAAACCCTTGGGTAATGTCATTGCAACACAGGAGTTCAATGCTTAGCCAGTGAAGGGTATGAGTTTGCATCTGTTTCGCGCTAAACGCATTAGTCTGTCCATTGTTTTGCCTGTAGTGTCACTTCCGTCAGCTACTGTCGTTTAACGTGGAAATTCTAGAAATTCAAGCCTTTGTGTAATAAGTCTACTGCTGAAGAAGTGTATTCAATTGCACTATAGTTCTTGCATATTTGAAAATTTGTAACACTCCTATTTTATTGTCATATAAGCTCTGCCTGTGCAGATCAAAATTCTAACGTTAGCAATCGGCACTATCAAACTTAGTGAATGGAATATCGTATGAAAGACGAACATCGCTGCAGTTTCCTAAGACTTTCCTAAAGTCCTTGTGATACGTACATTAGTAACTTCTTATTGCTTGATATGATGATTTCCTGCCCATTGGCTTCCAACTCATTTCAACAAATCTGACTGCAAAGTACTTTTGCACGCGCTGTCCCCTGAACGTAGACCCAAGCACCTAACTTTAATAAGTATTGTCTGGAATCACCAAAAAGACGCTTTATTCGAATGGTTGTACGGAATTGCCTATCATTTAATGTATCCCAAAAATACGTCTCAAACTGGCTGAAGGTGCGTTCACTTTCCCTTATACTTCACCATTGCTGGTCATCCTTTCCTTTACCCACAACAGACCTAGAACGCATGCTAACCAGCCTGGAGGCGCACAAAGTGGACTACAGTGTGATGGTGGAGGTACAAGCAGAGAACGTCAGACTGCAGGAAGAGGTTGCCCAGCTCAGTGAAGAGACCCAGTTTCTGCGCCGTGAACTCGAGACTGTGAGAAAAGCCCATGCAGCTGAGTTGGAGACAATTAACCTTGCCAATGAGGAGAAATGTAGGTGCATTGGAGGAAAGTGCAATTCGAAGTTGGAAAACATGAGGAAATCATTGTGAAGTCACCGTGGGGATTTTAAAGTCCTGTTTGGTTAAGTGCACGTTTGATTTCTTAGGAAGTTTTGTTTGAGAATTGGCATCTGAAGGTTTACATTATTTTGCATTGCTGGAGCTTTCACGGAAGACGATTTTATTATTAGGCTCGTAAAAGGCTGCGAAATCAGTAGCATGGGTGACGTGTGCAGAGGTTGACACTGCCAGCATTGTAGCTGAAGTGTTGAAAAATGAAAAGGATGATTGACGCGCTTTATTAACGTTTCTCCTTCGTATGGCTGTTTGATGATTTGGTTTTGGTGCGAGGTGGCAAAGTGAGGGAATTTGCGATTGTAATAGTCATAGTGATTTCAAGCTACACATGGACGAGCGTCACAAGGTTCGTGTAGTTACCGTCCCAGCAATGTTGGACCACTTGAACTGAACTGACGAGGTGAAAGCCAGTGTGCTAGCTGGATGAGCTCCATTACACGAGTGCGAGTAATGGGGTCCGATGAGCAATCGCATGGAAACTGTTGCCATGAGTCTCAGGAGATCGGCCGCCACAACTTACGAGTTGTTCCGTTTTAATATGCTGTCAACTGCTGTCAAGTCTTTTTCTCACTTAATTTAACTCAATTCCTTTTAATTGCACGTGGTTCATGTGTATGGAGTGTGGGCTCGGATGAGGACACGAAGGGGTATCATTAATCGAAAACTGCGCATTTTTTATTTGTTTTGTGTGTGGTTGTGAGCTTTGTCAAAATAAAGTAGTACGTCTTGTGGACCTATCTTACGTGCAAACGTAGTTATTTTTTTAGAAAGGCCGACTGCTATCGTGTATTTTATTTATCATTGCCCATCCTAGCCAATGCACCAGTGATTAATAGGAATTGGGCTTTTGCAGCTGCTTCAAAAAGACAGTTTTGCTTGTAATAGACCAACACATGAATTTCACACAGTGGCAGTATGATTACTAATTTCTATCTTGGCAATTGTCCCACCTTTGACTAGCCATTTGACAAATGGGTTTTCACCCTCTCCAAACTCAACTGAAACGATGCATTAGGAATGTTATCATACCCTTTTCAGCAACCCATGTCCTTTGTGATCAAAGCTTATGCTTAATTGTCGCCACGTTAGACGTTCAGTTTGGTTTATAACACTGCAGTTGCCTTTTTCACTTACCCTTCTTCACAATTGGATACTTAAGGCATGAATTACCTGTTGTAAAAAGTAGAAGTGTTTTGAAAAATGCAGCTTATTTTAATTTTCTTCCGAATTTTCAGTGGTAGCAATGCGCAATGAGTACGAAGACAAGTGTACGTTCCATTAGAATCCAATCTTTTCGCTATCCTGACCGAACAAACACGCGCCTGCATACGTCTGCCTTCCTTTTTTATTCTGCGCTTTCTAGTGACTGAGCAGTCGAAGGAATTGACGGAGATGATGGACAAGGAACAGGCTAATTTTGCGGCCCAAAGAGATGCCTGGAACGAGGAAAGAGCCAGCGTATGTTCTTTCGTGTTTCATCGCCTTAACTTATTCTTCAGGCTGTAGTACCCCATTTTTCATTGGCAGTTCTGTGGTAGATAAAATGACATGATTGGAGCTAAATGCTTTAGGACTTGTTTTGGACCTAATCCCTAATACCCCCTCCAATCAGACCTCCTGATGGTGTTTATGTAGTATTCGGTTGCATTGGAACCACCAACTAGGTAGGACCAAGGCCCACCATATGAATTCGCGTCATATTGGAAGGCTTCTTTGTTTCAATGGTAGAAGGGTAATTTACCCCATCGCCTTCCTCGGGCAAAAGGTGTCGTTCGGGGGTACATCTGGGAAACGTGTCATAGCAGTTGCTTTTTATATCACCAAAACTTATGGCAACGTTTCTCTCAAATTGAAAACGATGCCCATCAGTATTCTAAGCTATCTTTTATTATCCCTAACTTTATATGATAATTAAAATCTAAAGCTGCATTATTTACGCATTGAAGCAAGCCTCAGGTAATGCTGCTTTACTGAACGTGAAGCAAATGAGGATTCGTACGACTGGTCTTCACCACCATTATAGATCGTCAATATCCCATCTGTTTGCATTGACTGACATTGTTAGATGTCATTTTCCACATGTAGGTAGTGATCAATCCGTTTAGCTGCCAGAATCCACAAATTTTCATAGATGGTTGAACTCTTAGGCTATGATATGGCATGAGAAGGCTTTTAATAATTCCAAGGTAATGATATGCGCAACCGTAAAACGATGACGGCACCATATTTTTTGAAAAGTCGAGGAGGTTCCAATGTGATGGAGTGAAATACATGCTCGGTAGTTTGTTAGATCAAAACTGCACCACAACGCCTGTGTTGTTGTTGATTCCAGATTTCATTCTTCAGCTTTCCTTTCCATTTTATTGTTGGTCAGCTCTCTATCGAGGCCAATCTTAGGTGTGCTGTGGCTTAGGGTACTGTTTCTCTTGCATTGCTTGCGTGATCGGTCCTTTTTGTTGGCTGAAATTTTAGGGCTAGTTAAAAGGAGCCTTACTTTACCATAGAGCCTGCGTCTTACGTTAAACTTTAACCCTGGAGTATACATAACTTAAGCTTCCACACGGCTTCGCAGCTGGAATCGTGTTCTTTGAAACCATCCAGTAGGTGGAAGCATTATTTTTCTATTACTTACGTTATCGGGAAATGTGTTTGGTGAAAGATCCTGCTAAACATCCTGTAGCAAGCACATTATCAATCTCGTTTACGACCCAGCTTATTACAGCATTTGGAGACTAAAATTTCATAATTGCAGCATTGAAATGAAAGCAGATCGTGAGTCATTACTGAATGTAGCGGAGAATAAGTGTGGAATGAATGCTTAACGTCTATGCGGTAAACAAGTCAAGGTGGAGGAGTAGGCTGGCTTTTTTAGGGGAAGTTCTGTAATCTTTTCCGAAGGCGACTTTGAATCCCTTTCAGCTTTTGATTGATCATGCCAACGAGCTGGCTTCGATGGTCAAATCAAAGGAACAGAAAATGACAGAGGAAGAGCCCGATTTTCGCACTGAAATTCTACGACAGGTAAATTGGTGATGAGTTGGTTTTTGTTGTATTTTCTACATGAAGTTCTTGCTATGCCCTAAACGACTTGGCCTCAAATGTAAACCATGAGTAAGGAAATTGAGTGCTACTTTCACTGTCATCATGGGGTGAATGCGGTGCTTGTGTTACTGCAGACAACGTTAGAAGGTGTACAAGTTCGGAATTAGCTTTGGCATAAGCAGCACCATAACTGAGAAACTAATAGCATTGGCGGTGGTGGTATGAGCACCGATTCGTGCATTAGCATCATCAGAATTCTGTTTCAATGGGATGAAATTCATATTTCGTGAGAATGGAGAGATCTTCGTAATGATACACATTTGCAACAATTACCATTTCACTGCGGAATCACAAGTGGTTTAGGGTGTTTTTTTTCTTGCCTACTTGATTATGGATGCAACATAGTTTGACCTTTTTTTATTAAATGAACATCAGACATTGAACAGGAGTTTTAGATTTTGCTAAGTGATATGATGTTTGGTGGGAGACTGTCCAGGCTCATTTACTCACAGGTTATTCCAGTGTACGTGTGGTCGTAAATGTCCCACTTTGGTGTTTTTGCCTTTCCTCTTAGATAAACGAGGTGCAGAACCAGGCGCGTGAGCAGGTAGCCCAATTGCAGAGTAGAATTGAGCAGCTTCTGACTGCTTCCACCATGGTGAAGACTTCAACGAGGACGTCAAGGGAAAGAGCAAGGGGCAACAGTGGTAAGACGCCGATCGCTATGCCGACGCCACCACCTCAGTTGCAGTGGCCTCTGCAGCAACAGGAGGCAGAGAATGTGTTGCATAAATCGCCGCCGAGGGTCCCAAGAAAGGTCATGCTTTACCCTTCGCTTAACAGAAACTGTGATGGTGTAGATTTACACAGGTGGATATTGGACCTTCATCCAGCTGTATGAACGACAGGTGGATGGGTCTAAATCATCCACAGACTGAATTGTGGGTATAGTATGATGAATTTTACTTTGGATCGGAAAGGTTGCCTTTTACAGCCGGAACTGACAGTCTTATACCTTTTGATGCAATTGTGAAATTAAGGCTTCCATTCAAACGTAGAACTGAAGGCTGAAAATTAGGGCAAAGGGTGTAAAAGTGCAAGTGTATGCTCTTTGTGAAGTTTTTGATACATTCAGAATCATTCGGATAACAGAAAAGATTTAATGTGACAGACTTGCTTTGTGTTTCGAAAGCTCTCGATTTATGCTGTTCCTTGTGTGGCTTTTTCCATTAGGATAGGCGTACTGATACGTTTATTCTCGTTGTACATGGAAAGCTGGTGTATTTCATAGGAGGTTCTGCTTGGAGGGCTCAACAAGTACAATGAGACAGGTTTCCGGACATTCCATCCTTCTGTTCAGTTAGCTTTTCGATGCTTTATCCAGTTGTTTGTAGTGGTCAATTTCTATAAGGAACAGCATATGGGGCGAGATTGAGCTGTTGAGTGTTTTGGATCAGTGATCGTAGTACTTCGTTGGAAGGTAGTTTAGTAACCCACATCCATGGTAATTACTTGTCTCGAAATTGCCTGTGGGGAAGGCAGTGATGGTGGATTTGATTTACTTTACTGAGAGCATATCCACAGTTTTACTCACTGTAATGTATTTTTGAATTTTAATGAGATTCCTTGAAGTAAAAGGAGTCGGTGGAATCGTTCTAATTTGACTCTGCAGACACAATGAGGTACTAGAGTTGATGCATTCTGAGGAATCCTTTGCTGTCAATTTGGAAGGATTCGGGCACCTATTCTTCTAACAGGTCACTAATGCAATGTCATTCGGCCGTCTAATTGAGTTGATATTTCCAAGCAAGACGTGTTAGGTATCGAGATTTTAAGGAGTGGCTTTCTCTTAATTGCCTTCCACATCAGTATTCTCTCTCTAGTGAGTAACTACTCAGTCATTCAACGGAATTTCTTTTTTAGGCCTACTTTGTTGAAGGCATTACAGTTGCCCTTCTAATCGACTAATCTGATTTCCTCGGTCTACCTCACCTCACTAAGGTCCATGATTCAGTAAAACTAAGGCATCATTGTAGGGCCACGAAATTATCACCTGGTCCACTTTTAATGATCCGTTTCCTCTCACTTCTTGCATTTTGTTTGCTGAATCCCTTTGACACTTCAATGTAGCTTGGCCCTGATATAATCAGGTGCTGCAGTTACCCATAATAATGTTATATTCTCAGCGAAGGAATTATTGTCTTCAAGTAAACTGTAAAATGATTTTACAGGAGGACTTGAAATTCGAATCACTAAAGATGGAATCAAGGTGATGTGATCTAGAATGAAGGTTGGCATAAATGCAACACGTCACAGCAATGCCACAAGTGTACCATTAAAAAATCAAGAGACCATTATCGGCTTAGATTTTCAACAAACACAAGAAAGAAGATAGTAGAAAAGATGTTATTGACTAAAAAATTGTGTGCGTTTCAGATGTCAGCACATTGGAATCACCAAGCTGCTGGTTCATTTACCCGAATCCCAGCACAGAGTGAGGAGGTCTTCGGAAACACCGGAAGTGGACAGAAGCGTGGTTACGGCGAGACCGTCCAAGTCCCACCACCCAAACCACCGGTAGGAGCGGCAGCTCAACTACCAGCAAGGAAGTCGTTAAAGGTTGCGGCGGTGCCCCCAGTCCTTGTCATGGCTGAGGAGCCACATCCCCTATTGGGGTCCCCTGCAAAGCTTAAGGGAAAGGCGGGTGAGTGCCTGGAATTGCCACATTCGAAGTGGGGCAAAGCGACGGATTTGTTGAACCAACGACCATTGGAAGCCTCTTTCTTTCAGCTGGTAAGAAAGTTGATAACAAATTTTATTCTTGACGTGAATTAAAAGTTACGAGCGTAGAATCCTGCTCTACATCTTATGGTGGAATTTTTTCATGGTCTTGCCTCGACGACCTCTATTTGTTTTTCTACCTCTCACAAATAAAGGAGTTACTTTAGTCAAGGCGTAAAACCCGAAATACTGAACCATTTTTTGCTTATTCAGCAATAAAGAAACGTTGAAAACAGTGGGCACTTTACGAACTATTGACAAGAAAATTTGATTGTTTTCATAGGTCACAGGGAATGAAAAAATACTTGACGAAATTAAGATGGAATTCAGCATAGAGATTTGCCAATTTTCCATAGTTTAAATCGAGCAGACCATGAATGTGCAGCTCTTTGAAAAATTCAGCATTGTGCTACTTCAAGTGCATTGTCATTTGCCCATCACTCGAGTCCCGTCTAATCTCGCCTTCCTTAGTTCATTTTGCTGCAGAAACCCCCGCTTGGTCGTACCTCATACGACTGTCCAAGACCAATAAGGCCGATTTTTTGTTCCTACTCTTATCTATTCTATCATTTTGTCAAGTAGCCTTCAGAACAAATCTATCAACACATTATCACAATATTGGGATAGGCCTCCGTTGATGAGCTCGATATTGCTTGATGCATACATGCGATAAAATGCATCCAACCATCCGAATCCGTCTTATGCAGTAGGCTGGTTCAGTTGGAATGCTATCTACGTCAAGCGTTGCCTCCGATTTACACCGTTTGGGATCACTGCATAGGCTTTTTTATTAGAGCTACTTCCAAGTCAGGTTTATTCTAGCTTAAAGAAATTTGCATTCGCATTGGGCTTCCTACTTTTACCAAGTTTGGGGAAAAAAGGAGCAAATGTGTGAGTTGAATAGATTCATCAAAATTTCCATCGTCCCATTATAATGATCTCTCACCTTCCCCGTCAAGACTCGTAAAGGCAATTTTCGAGGCAGCAGTCAACGTGAATCACTGAAGATTTGCATGATCGGTATTAGGGGGAAAAATTATCTAGGAAAGAGGACCATACTGCCATAGTTTGACCGTCACCACCGAAATTGTCATTAATTTTTGTTCATTGATAGGAAAGTCAATTTGATAAAGCTTATTTATAATTTGAAACCCTAAGGGCCAAATAATTTGGTGAAGCTATTCAGAATAAAACATGAACTGCAGAAAAATTCCTTGAATTAATCGCTCTTGCTACCCATAGGTACAGGGCAACGAGTTTCGCCTTTATTGGACGCTTATACCTGTTGAAGCCCTTGTACTTGTAGACCCAAAAAGCTGTCTATCCTTCCTCGCATGTGTTTATCTAGTGCTACCGCCAAGAAACTTTGGTGGCCATCACCTGGGAGCTGTGGATGAGAATAGGGCGTCATCTCCTTCTATTTAGCAATAGCCAATGATGCAATTGTGCGTTTAACAAATGGTGGAGTAGGAAAGTCATTTCTCAGCATTCCACGCCTGCGCCTTATATTGCATGTATGTAGGCGTTCGCATCCTCTAAGTCCCTACAAGTTACAACAAGTCCTAACAGGGGCTTACACTGAGAGCTGCATTAGGGTTTAGGCACTCGATACCTTTGATAACAGTTAATTAAGTCAGAATTTGTCCGCTAAACTCGGAAATATGCGTAGCACTAAGTGCTGTAGGGACTAATTAACCGAAATGAAGCATCTATGGAGGACAAAAACGACTTTCTTGCCATATAGCAAACTTTTTAAGCGGTAAACCTTGAAAGCCTTTAGCCCTAGCATTTCATTCTGATCATCATGGTCTTTCTAAATGCTTCCACAAAATTACACTACTTTTGGGGTAGATCTCCCGAATTTACTAGATATTTGCTTCTCCGTGAGATTGATATTCATCTAAGAGGCCGCGAACAACTGCCGTATTTAGCCGCCTGCCGACGCACTAAATGCCAACTTCATGACCTCTGATGACTGGTTTGACTACGGAGATGAGCAGTCTCAAAACGGAATTCAAGGCCAAGTGGCGGATGTTTCTCAAGCTCTTCCACCTCCACTGCCATCGATATCGCCAATGCCACTACACCAGCAGCAGCAGCAGGTTGGATTTGGTGAGAAAAGGAGGCATCTTTTCACCGTCCATTCGGGTAGCAATTGACTTGTTGATGGCTTCCATTTGACCGATACATTATCTTGTCAAACCGCATAGTTTGTGCAGTTAATAGCACATTTTCAAAAGTTACTTCCTCCCTCTCCTGTATGTTGCCTGAATCTGTTTGTATTCTGTTGTGATCATTTTGTCTTTTCGAAGAGAACTATCTGTTGCGTTTGCGATGGCTCTGGATGATTAATTCTGGAATTGTATTTGTGGCATTACCAGACAAAGAAATGCGATTCCCCTGTACTACGTGTGAAAAGGTGAACAATTGCACTAACTAACGTCTGCTTGTGGGCGCTGCTAAAAATTACTTGCTTAGCATAATTTCAGAGCACAATCTGCACCTTCAAAGAGAGTAGTCTTTGCCAGATAAAACGCTGACCAACGAGAACGAGGCTGGATGTCTGCAACTCACCACCGAGCACACTCAACATAAAGGAAACAAACTGTTCAATGCTAGACGAAAGGCACCTTTCCCTTGGTGAAATTGGGTAAGTACTTAGAGTAAAGCTTCCAGAGTGGGGAGAATACTTGTCCTCGAAGTTTTGCTGTGTACATTAACTTGGCCAATCTAGAAATTACAAGGATTTGTATACGAAAAGTACAAGTTGGCTCAAGTGCTAAGTTGTATTCCACTAGACCAACATATTTCTTTATAAACAAGCTAGGGCTATAAATATGTGTATTCAAAAAAGCAAGTGATTTTTAAATTATTTTGCTTAGAATCTAATTATATAACGTCTTGACCAAGTTTAATCTGAAATTTCACTTACTGGCTAAATACAATCTAAGCAATTTATTTTAGTGATCGATTGATGGTGGCGCACTGCTTGAGTGGTCTGCGAATTGGTTTTTGTATTTGACGGTAGAACGCACACAGTGTGGTCTCCCACAGTTACCTTTATCCCCCATATAGCTGTTACTAACAGTTAGTCGTTTAAATCGATCGATTTGCTCGTTGGGCTGTCGGGTCCTTTGCATTTTGGGTCAGATTTATATCAATTCATATGTTCAAAGGCTTTAAGTTATGCCTTCCCTTAGAACTCGTCGTCGCGTCTACAAGTCGCAATACTTTGAAAAACTGTCAGATTCAGACGCCGCTGTCAGCAGTGGAGATGAATTTACTCCACCCCTAAAATTGAAATCGACGCCTCGCTCTAAGACTGCATCCGGACGCAATAAGAGTCAAAGTAAAACAGAGCCGTCCAACGCTGCTTCACCGATAATTTCAGATATCAAGGGAAAGCCTCTTTCGAGGTCGAATGGGAAGAAGAAGGATAACACTGAGGAGGATCTGACTGTCACTAAATTATTTAGAAAGTTCAGTCGTAGATCCAAGAAGGTGAAGGTGGAAGAAGCCCCGAAAGAAGTCGTAAAAGTCGAAGAGTTTCTCACTGATAGTGAACCTAGTGACGCAGATGGCTGGGAAGACGTGTCTAATCCTCCTTCTGACGCGGAGGCTAAGCAAGCTGCTTCAGCTCACAAGGAATTTGAGTTCTTAAGTCAACTTATACAGAAGCCAGAAAATGAGGTAACTAAGGTCGAAGACGAGGGACCTCTGGAGATATCTGTTAGCACTCTTCCTCGTGGGAGATCGTCTTGTCGGGATCCTAAGGCTCTCGCCGCACTTGCTTTGGCTAGACAGATCCGTGAACGCGCTCGGACTCTCCACATATTCTACGTTCTAGAATTCCTCACTTTTGGTCGATTTGCCAATAAGGCGTGTGATGATGCAACGATTCGCGCTTTGGCTTTATCTCTGATCGTTATACCCAAGTCGTGGGATTTAGCAGCTCTTCAATCACTCGTTCACACCTTTGCTTCCCTTAATCACAATGGTCCCAAGATAAAGAATCCCGACATTCGCGAGGCGATTCAAACCCGATTGCAGGTAGGTAGCACTTCAGCTGTCGATTGTGCGCTCCTGATGGTCGCTGCGCTACGAGCCTGTGGTCTGGATACACGTCTTGTCTTAGCTTTCGCTCCACCATCGCTGAAACCTGGTACGAACACCACGGCTCGTGGCCTCAAGAAACTCAAACCCCTTGGCCCCTCATCTCGAACTTCAAAAATAATCTCGTCAGAGAGCGAAGACGAAAAACAAAGGCTGTCCTCGAAGTACTTCTTTTTTGGTGAAGTCTACCTGCCCTCTGACGAAGTGTGGTACAGTATCGATTTTTCGCCTCCCACAGGACGGGTGATGGCGGATGTCTCCTTTCACTTCACCAACTTTCCCTATGTTGTGGGCTTTCATTCCACCCATTGTAGCTACCTCGGTCGCACTCCAATTGATTTGGCACCTCGATACGATCCTACCTGGATGTCCATGTCTCGAGATCACCGCATTCCTGATCCTCTGTGGAAGAAGCTTCTTACCACACTGAGGGGTCATTGCGACGGGGATGTGGTCGATCTGCGAGCGAAAGACGTTGGTGGGATGGAAGAGATGCGAGACGCGGCAGGTATGGAGAGGATTTTCGACTACCTGCGGAGTCTCCCCCTTCCAGTGAAGGTGCAGAACTTTAAGGGCCATCCACTATATGCTCTGAGACGGCACCTTCTGAAATTTGAAGTGATTTATCCGCCGGACGCACCGGTAGTTGGGTTTCTTAAGGTCGGAGGCAAAGCGAGCGAGGTTACGGAGCCTGTTTATCCTCGGGAGTGTGTTCATATTTGTCACACTAGAGAGTCGTGGTTGAAGGAGGCAAAGGTGAGTTGACTGTTTCATCATATTTGCTAACTGTCGAATCTTGATTTCCTAGTGGTTGTGTTTCTTTACATCTTTTCATGTTTAATTTACGCGAATGTGTTGCGGAAGCGTTTCGAATCCGAATTGGTGTTGTTTCTAGTGCGGGATCCATGGTATAAGTTTACTGCCATAAACGGTAGTATCATTTCATGTTCACCGGTGCTTCGTCTTAGACCATTGAGATACATGTGAGCATGTTTTAAAGTGGTTATCATCCCGGAGATTTATCTTTTGTCCCTGTCCAGAATCATTGCTTCAAAATACAACTAGATGTAAGAAATAACTGTGCTTTCGGTCCCATGGATTAAGCGCCGCACTAAGAATAGTTAGGAGGTTAATGCAGTGCAATTATAAATATACTGGAAATTGACTCATTTCCCAATCCCCTTTGAACACAAAGCTAAGTCTGCCGGCCATTTATTTTTAAACTCAATTAAACTGTTACCGCATTAGTTGATTACACATCCTTATTGTGGCTCGATTTTGGAATCATTTAATGTATTTTTTCGCGTCTTTTGATATTTGGAGCGGTTTTGCTCTATAGCTCTAGTAGCTTGCTTAAAATTCACTACCAGATTACTCCTCGGCCATACCCGCATTCATTTCGCCATTGTGGTGGTTGGCGTTTTGTGAAAGGATAATTGCAACAGTTACTAAGCTTTTGACTATTTGATGTCTAATGGATGAGAAGGTTCCTTAACTAGACCATGTAATTTGTGCTTCAGGTCGGTTCAAAGTTGACTCCTAGTGGAATTTTTAACTTAGGAGAACCCTTACGCAAGGATTTGGCTTAGGTTGACTTAATTTTAAAGACTCACTGCTCACATGCACCGTAAACCTTTGCACCGAAATGCACACTGATTGAATTAGGTCGTTGTGGCACGTTTTACTTTGAACAGAATAAAAGTGAATTCATCACCATCGCGGAACTATCCACGTGGATTGATTTTCGACGCCACTGAGTCTAACTTCCACCCGCCTTGTAGTGTGTGGATCCCGAGTTATCACCTGATCTATCTGAGTCCTCATGTCCATCACCTTAGTTTTCATGTAGAAGTGATCGTCCCAACATTATTTGAAACTGCACGTCTCATGTTTGCTTCAATTTACTCACATTTCTTGCAATGTGATTTTCGTTTCGGTAATCTTCTAGTTAATTCACGATAATATTGTGACTCCTTGGATCTATTCGTTTCCTATTTTAAATTGATCTGTGGTTAATCGTCTGTACTTTCTGAGCTCCACACGGAGTTGCTTCAAAATAAATTTTACGCCCCTACACGTTTAAAAATATGCTTGACAAAGCATCGATGATAGACTACATTAGCGTTACACTTTTCCACAGACGGCCGATTTTTTGAGCACAAAAGGAATCCGAAGTGGATTCAATCTTAAGGTGTTTTTCGATACCTGCCGTAGAGTTCGAATTCGTTGACATTAAAGAAGAATTCGTGCTTTATTTTCCAATTGGGTCTGACGTTGGTCCTTCAAAATATGCATTTCATCGTGTAAATTAAAGTGTACCGCATGCTTAATTAAATGGACATTATGGCCTTTTGGATCAGCGTTAAAGCCTCACCTTTTGGGTGTTCCGAAGCGAATTCTTATGTGAAGACCGTTTTTCTACCTATCCTTCATGTTGATTAATGGCATAGAAGAACTGAAGAAGGTACTAAGGATTTTTGTTTCACTTCGACTCCATCTTAATCGGGAAAATTTCTAGCTAACTACCCACATCTGATGCTTCGTATAATCGGGGTCCTATTCCACTATAGCATGCGAGCTCTCTGAAGAAAGCATAAGACCCATGGATATAGATATAGCATTGCTGCTGCCGTACAGAAAGCTCAAGGAAGTTATAATCATAGGACCGAAAGTCAGTATAAATGCCTAATTTTCAAGGATTGCAAAGGTTTTTAATCTCACGGCCATATCTAATTGCATTCTCCACAGACTATTCGCTTGGGCGAGAAACCGGCAAAGGAGGTAAAGGCGATGATGACGATGAAGCGCAAACTCCTTCAAGAGACAAATGGACCAACACCCATGGTAGAGTTGTTCGGACCCTGGCAGGTCGAGGACTACGTACCTCCAGTGGCCGAGAATGGTGTTGTGCCTCGTAATGAACATGGCAATGTGGAACTCTTCAAGCCATGCATGCTACCCATTGGTTGTGTACACATCCGTCTGCCCGGTAGGCGTAATCACTAAATTTTGCAGCTTGCCGTTCAAATGGTTTTGCGCAGCTAGCTTTTTAACTTATTGAATTGTAGAGGTAGATTGTTTAATGTTGTCATTTGGGCTGGCAATTGTATTACGCTACCGCTAATTCACACGGAATAGTAGGGTGGGTATGTTTGCTTTTGATAGTGTTTTTTTGTTAGTCTTGGTCTTGGTTCAGGTATGTCACCCAGTTGGTGCACTTTTGGGGCTGAAATCACTTTGATTTGGCTAGTAGCTACACCACTGATGCTGTTATGATACAAGCAAATCTGGAAACAGAAGAACTAGAAGACTAGTACCATGGATGATATAAGAGGAGTTCCATTTTACCTCGCAGTAATCCCATCACCGTCTGTGTGTTCAGATCCGCCGTTACATTAACCATCTTTTGGATTCGTAGTACCCTTCTTTTTTTAAGCTTCATCTCTAGCGTTCCTGGTGGTTACTGCTCTGCATTTCTTATCGACGGTCGTCCAGTGGATTATGATCAACATGGCAACAGCAAAGAAGATAGTGCAATGAATTCACCTCAAGTAGATAATACTTCTGATTACATTACCATTGGTGTCTTTTTTGGATTTAGGTGGGGTTTCTGAATTGATTGGGGAGCTATTTGTTTGAGAACTAGTGCAAAGCCTCGACTGTGTGTTTGGAGCGACGACTGTCCATGTTAACGATCTTTCAGGCCTTTTTGGATGATGGGTATTGTATTCACGTATCCTAATCACGAGTCAGTGTGCTCGTAGTAGTGGTTCAAGCTATTGAATTTATTCCAACCTGGTTCCGCCTGACTGCCGCTTACTAGGTTTGACTTGAGAATGGGGTGGTTGCTAAAGATCAAATTGGTCTCAGTAGCTTTTCCGTTGAGTTTCATTGTAACCCGCCTTTTGCCTAACTTAGACACGGATCTACATAAGGCTAAGTATCCGAGACATCGGAAGTCATACTTTACCAGCTCTAGGTCGAACCATGGTGAGTTCTAGTGGATTGTGGTAGTTTATTTTCACTGCACGAGGTGAATGCGTGTGTGAGTGATGGTAAATCAGGTCAACTAATTGAGTCCGGCTAAAATATTTTGGCCTGATCGGGCAGTCAGGACACGGGACGACTGATGCAAACACGTGACTCTGGACCTCTTAACATGTATTTACAGGTTTGGGGATACACAGCAGATGTTTTTGTGACTTTTTGCCCCATTATCCATCCACAGAGAATCGAAGTCTTCATTAGCGTTTACCGAAGCTGTTACTGTGCCCCCCGGATCACCTTACCAAGCGTACTAGTTTGGGAGAGGGTTCATCACAAACGTTCATATGGACTCAGAGGCTACCAGTTTTACCTTGTTTCTGCATCACCAGCATCATCATGTGGTCAAATAGCCGATTAAAAAGAATATCGTCTACTGCGTTAGCTTGACACTTCGCTACTTAATGCTTACATCCATCTTTGTTATAATGCAGATTTCTCGAAGAAACTCCGAATCATTATAGACTATAGTCTTCAGTTGATCTTGGTTCTCCTAATCTTCCCTCCCATTTTACTCCCTCTAGGCATCCAACACATTGCCAAGCGCCTTGAGATCGATGCAGCACCCGCGATGGTCGGTTGGACGTTCCACAAGGCAGGTTGGGCGCACCCCGAATACGACGGCTTCGTAGTGTGTCGTGAGGTCGTGCCAATTCTCGTGGACGCTTGGCGTGAGGAGCGCATGTCTGCTGCCGTGGCGGCAGCAGTCGATCGCACTGAACGTGCCCTGTCAAACTGGAAACGTTTAACACGAAACTTATTACTGTGGCAGCGCATTGAGGCGGGATTCCAGTTGGCTAAGGCGACGGTACATGCTGCACCATCGGTGAGTCGGCTTTTACTGGCAATGTCTCTGAAGTTATATCAAAGGTCGGCAGCTCTCCGCTGGCAATGGTATTTCGTATACCGATCACATTTCGTAGGAGCGTTTGTTTAATGCTTTGTGGATAAAATTGGGTTTGGGGGCTCTGATACAATTTCGTTTGGTCTTCGCCTTCCCAGTCATCTATATTAGTTATTGTCAGCCTTGAGTGAGGTGAGATCTCAAGAGGTTGGGTGTTTGCTACCTGTTCAAGCGTGGTAGAGGTCAAGTCGCTTATGCCATGAAAAAAAGCGGTGTGCTCAAAACTCCTACTCTGCCTTAAAATGAAGAGCCGTTTTTGAGGGCGTCATAAGCCACGTTTAGTGGTGGAATAATTCTGTTGTAAACGCACATAAGGATTAGTGGCTGATGGCGTTCTTCGCATAATTACAGCCGGAGAATGACATCCGAATAGGGATATGATAATAGTTTTTTAGCATTACGTATGATTAAGACGAGCACAAATCAACAGATTGTACAAAGTGTATTTCTTCTTCCACTTTCCCTTATGCAGTAGTAAACATTGTTTCTTTTTATCAATTACACTGCCTCATTTCCTCTTCATCTCATCAGGCTGGGTGGGTTACTGCTACTGTTGGCAACTCAGTAGTAAGTGGTCCACTCAATCCTTACTGTAATACCAACTTTTGAGTAAAATTTTGCTGACTTTAACTAGCGTTACCCTGTTATGGCATCGTCAAAAGGACCAAAATGGCGGTTTTTCAACCATTTATCTACTGATAGAAATTTAGGTTTGGCGATTGTTTTTAAAGATAACGATTGCGTTTTGAAAGCGCACTTTCGAGAGAAAATCTGGCGTTTGATAAGATAAATTGATTTCTTTACAAGGAAATACACAAGAACACGGAGTTTGGAGGAGAGGAATTCATTTTATCAACTTATTCTCTCTTCTTAGCCGATGTCAACAGGTGAGGCTAAAAAGTCATCTTCATCTAAGCCAACGCTTTCCGACCCCCCGTGGCAGACCCTGGCCACTGCCAAACCCGTTTTTCCGCGTCTTCTCGATGTTTCCGATTTGGTGAAAGCTGTGCCAAATCACAAGCCAAAGTTAAAGTCCAAACGTTCAGCAAGGAAGCCACCTCTGAAGAAACGCCGAAGACGGCGTCAGCCTTCCACCTCAGAGGATGAAGAAGAAGACGACGACGAAGAAGAAGAAGAAGAGGAAGGGGAAGAGAGTTTCACATCTCCTGACTCGGACTAGAGACCAACATTTATTCGCCTCTGCATTTACTCTTTTTGCATAAAATATCAAGAGATTCTATTGCTTTTTCCAAAACATATCATTTTTACAATCTTGTACTTCTTATATAGAACGTTTGCCATTTGTATGATGTGGTTGGGGGATTTTAGCTTAGCCTATGCGATTTCCTTCTTTCGTCAACTTGTTTTTTATATTAATTTTCTGATAGCTTTCTTTAACTACTTCAGTCTCCATTTCCTACTCCTAATTCGTCAATTTCTTAATTTGCAAGATAGCATGTGATATTGGTTGGTTTTCCACCCAGAGGGTGGCTTCGCCCTCTATCCAAATGGTACAGCTGCTTGTTATTTTTTCTAGTCTTTCTCACAATTTTTAAAAATCATAGGCTTGAATGTGTGTCCGCGGTATGCTTTCGATGCACTTAGCGTAGTCGTGTCCGGAGCAAGCCTAGTCTCTACTTCCTCTGTTCTCCTTATTCTACACGTTCACTGGCGTTCTAAGGTCATGTAATCCCTAGGAAGGGTTTTTTGCTTAGGGACTTCGGATTATCATGCTCACTATTTCGTTAACTATTTCCCCAATCTTATTCAGTACACGTCCCAAGTTAGAGGAGCAGGTTATTCAAGGCTTTGTATTTTAGTAGGATTTTAACCTGTCTTTTCAGTACTTAGTGTTTTGAAATTCTTGAAAATTCTAAAATGAAGCGACGGAATCCATTTTTTCGCTTCTTTCAAATGTTTATCCAATGGTGTCATGCCGACCCATTCTCACTTTACTTTTTGTACCCAGCTCACCACGATGTCAAGAAGGGATCTGACTATAATGCCAGGCGCAGTGGTTGCTAGTGAGTGTGACATACAAGGTGATATCACCGTTGGCACCCGCACCGTCATTCATCCCAAGGCACGGATCATCGCAGAGGCTGGGCCCATTCGCATTGGTGAGTCAAATCTCATTGAGGAGCAGGTGGAGATCATCAACAATGTACCCAACACCATTCTCATCATTGGTGACTTCAATGTCTTTGAGGTAGGTCCTTTCGTCATACTTTTTTGAATCGCTGTTTCCATTAGCATAAGATTTGGTGATATCTAACAAGGGCATTCTATGCTTATCTTCATTTCAAAGTCTTCATTGATGCTTGAACAAAGTTAGTTATCACTCAACGCTGTTTACATCATCAGGGGTTTTAACCCTGAGAATGGAGTCCTTCACCAAGCATTCTTGAATCAGTAAATAGTGACGTCCTTCACAGGAATTTTACCCCGAGGACTAAATTGAAAATTGCTGAATTTGGTAGCTTTAACGTGTTTGAGATTCCCCTTTTTCCTTCCGGGACTCCTCCAATTATGTGATTTGTAATATTGGTCGGTAATGTTAGTCTTGATGTTTACTTGATTGGGATTAGCTATGCTGTCTTTTCGTCGTGTTGCTTTGATTAGCTTAGTTTTGTTTCAGTCCGAAAAGTTATTTGATACCTATGCTGTCATCGGGAGCGAATTCAATGGCTTTGCGGTGGACTATATTTCTTTGGACCGAAAAATGATAATGTGGTCTGTTAAAAGTAAACATTACCCTTTTTACTTTTAAAGTTATTCCTTATTATCTAGTGACCTCAGTGTCTTCAGTGTGAATTCTCTCGTCATCCTATCCCTTGCCACATTCTTCCGACTTTTATCATGAGTGGATTCATTAAAAGCTTTACATTTTTGTAAATGCCAAAGATGGCAAATACAGTGACCGATTATTGATATTGAAATTGAATAGGTTACGGAAAGCCACTTGTTTTTTGGGGGGATTTGTTTGTTTCTAATACAAAATTATTTACTGATTTCTATCCCGAAATTTCTTTTCAATCAGAAGTTTGATTATGCTTTTGCCGATCAGACGATAGAAGATCTTTGTGATAACGGGTATAGGTTTCTGCAAGGTTCTTTAAGGAATTCTCGAGACAAATAGGAAAATTGTCAATGGAGAAGCCTTTAAATATAGGCTTTTCTCTTCCTCTAAGTCGTTAAATGTGTTTGCACATCTCTTGCTTGTGAGAGGTGCAACTTTGGTGACTTGTTGTGATTGGTTGATTATTCCTTAGTCATTGGTCTTTGACAGTGCCGTAAGAGTGCATAGAATGACAGTTGAATATTTCCTTTTCTGCAATTGATAAATGTGATTGAGAGGTTCCTAAATCAATCTCCATTGTATCTCGCATTCATGCGTCGCCCAAATGGAGGAGATTAGTAATTCATTGGTTTGCAACTGGAAAAAAATTGTTAATAAAGTGTCTGGAAATGAGCTTTTCCACCGTTAACCCATATCGTGTCATCTCACTTGCCATGTCCTACTAGTGCTTTGACTCTCATCTTGCCTCCGACTTTTAACGGTGCTCTAAAACACCCAAAATGGATGAGGCGTCAGTGGTGCATCTTCTTAAAAAGTCCACTCGGAAAATACACCTTTTTAGCGCCATATCATGCTGTCAACATGGCAATATCTAAAAATCCAAACTTCAATCGTCCCTTAGGTGGGAGCTCGGGTTCACAGTCGCGAGGTTGGCAACAGCAACGTCTTTGAATCCAAGTGTTTCGTCGGTCCACAGGTTCGCATCTCCAACGGTTGCGTCATCGGCGCGATGTGCTCTCTCACAGCCCCAGAGCACCTGCCTGAGAATACCATTGTATTTGGCGAAAGGGTGAGTAGTTCTTCCCCGTCTATTGCAACGGTGAAAATGCAAATGGTTTTAAAATACACAGCTGAGGATTTACTATGCATATTGGGTTAAGGGTACATTCTCAAACTTGGCATAGTGTTTTAATGTTTCAATTAATGGGACTATTCATAAATTGCTTTCATTGTGATGCTTTTTAGTTCTTGAAACACCTAGTTTCTTACCCTATTATATATCGGTAACGCTCCGCATCTCGCGATAATGCGTCAATGTGTTTGTCGCAGAGGATATGTAATTTGTATAAATATGAAGTCCGTCCATTGTTCAAGTGTTAATAAATGCTAGTGCCAAATGCCCAATGTCCATATTCTCCTGTACTGGCTAGCCGGTTTTGTGATGTAGTGGTAAATGGTGTAATCATAATGTGAGCATCTAAGTATCATGGCCAGGAAGGACAGTATGCCCTAAAAAATGTGCTGTGGTCGACCAGATTCACTGCTTAGTGATATGTGTAACCGAGACATCAGTCGTCGCTAGGGGTGCTTCTATGAAGGCGAAGATTTTTCATCATCTTATCACGTTGGACGATTTGCACACCTGACGTATTTCTGCTTGATCTGTGGTTGGAAATTGGACGAGATGGGAACAATGTCCAAATTCCAACTTTCATTTAAGAACAGTTGATAAGACGTTTCCATTCGTCTTGCAATTTGTGTTCAGTTCGTTCTTTTTCAATTATTTGGTAAGATTTTCTACGATCTAGAGCCACCGGCTTTCTGATTGTCTCAACGGGAGACTTGCTATACAGACGATTCCTTGTTCTTTTCCATTTTCTCCCGTCTAGAGTTTTCGCGATTTTAATTTCCAGTTCCTTCTATCCTTCAGTCTGCCTGGACTTCAATTTTCCCGTTAGACCATCATCATTAGTGTTGGCGACGTTGAATCACTGTTCGAAGGCTTTAAAAGGCAACTTTGAAGTGATTGTTAGGTTGAACCTTTCAAACCTTCAATATTTAGGCAGGACTCATTTCGTTTCGACCCCATTTACTGTTTTATGCAAATATTTCTGCATACTGTAGTTTGTTTTGTTTCCATTCTTCGAATTCAACTTATTAATCACTATTAGACACTTGTCAAATTGGCCACACTGCAGCGTATTCATTGTGTTCCATGAGCAATATCACCGCTAATGAAGTGCACGTTCTTCCTGTGTCTGATCTCAATAGATTTTGCGTATTTTGTCCCGATTCATGAAGATCAGGTATCTTTGGGCTCACAGACACGGTGGTAGCGCGAAGTCTTTTCAAAATATGGGATGACTTTATTTTCGAGTCGCATCGTCTATCAAAACTGTGTTGTGTGCTGCAATTTGCCTTCACTTTTTAGCCCTTGATCCTTAACGAACACTACTGTAACAGACAGCCTCGTTTGACCACCGTTTCTCGGGTTCAAAGTTCAACTAGTCATTTTACGTTCTAAGTTCTTTGCACCCACATTATGTGCCAGCTTCGTTTCAGTGCTCTGCATCGTCCTGACTTTTGTAGTGCCTAAGACGGGTGGCCACAGAGAGACCTATGCCGCAAACGCTACAGTTGGACTTCTTGAGCAAGATCCTGCCCAACTATCATCACCTTCTACTGGTCAGCAGACCCTCTGTCAGCTCAATCAAGGGCGCTCCTACCACTCGCTAAAATTCACGCGTTGTCACCCTCTCTTATACTTTTTAAAATCGCGCTGGCTGTGTTTACTGTGTTCTACTAATATATATCTTCCATTCTTCCATGTTGTTTGACTTTTTAATTGCCTTTTAGAATGCGCTCATTGGTATCTGTTTGCTTGTGGATTCGTTTTAACTAGCCGACATTTCGTGCTCCTATTCCTGAGTTATTCTTTAAATATTCCCTACCAATCTTTGTTTTACTACTTTATGTCTTGCTGCATAGTACCACTTTCAGCCTGGTCTTTGTTATTCCGGAATCGCCTAATAAGTTGTTTTTATCCTCCCCGAGAGTTTTAGTCTTTGGTTTGCCTGCCGGAATGCTAACTTAGGTGTTTTGGGGTTTTTGTGCTGTTATTTTCTGCTCTGGATATATTTTTTGGTAAGTTAAGTGTTATTTTTTAAATTTCTATCCTTACCAAAAACGGTATCCATTTTATGCAGCTATGACTGCTCTTTCGGCTGGTCGTCTTTGAATCAGCCTTAAGTTATGTTCAACACCTCGTTCCTTTTTCGTTTCTTTTCGCTATGCCAACAGTATTGTCATGATTAATGGGTACTGATCACTCCTCTGCACAATTAAACCTGCTTTTCGAGCATCTTTCATGTTTCGTGAAATATTACCTTCCATTCTTACGAATTTTTAATGTCAATTGGCTTTGTGGGTTTTATTTGAAGCACCTACATCTAGCTCTAGAGCGTATCTGTACAAATTCTTGAAGTTGACCATCTTGGAGTTTGCCGTCCAGTTGAGCCATCGTGTTTGGCGCATTTCTAGAACGATATTTTCAATCAAAACCACTGTTTGTGTGTGCCCTCTTTGGTCACAATTTCGAGGGGAAATGACGTCGATTGAATCGCCATCTTTACGTTCACATACCAAGGCTTTAAGGTCGGCTTATAAGTTCGACTATCATTCTGCATTCCATGTTTGTTTAGCAAACGATCCTTTTTAAAATTTTTTTGTTCTATTTTACGGTGAAGGTAGAATCTGGTAAAAAATGTTTTTTAATGATTTTGTGGCCTTTGCTGTCACTTTGTCGAATTAGCAGAACGTCATTGGGTTACTTATCAGGGTTTTATGAAAAAAGATTTGATTAGTTTTACAAACAAATACTCACTATGACTAGCACAGAACTGATCTCAGTCTCATCAACTCCTCCCACTCTCTTGTTTCAACCGACTTAGTGCTGTTGAAATAGTAGTAGCGGTAAATTTTCGAATTCTGCTACTGTTAGTATCATCCTTTTGTTTCGATGGTACCTAATGACCTCCATAGGGATCAATTGTTTGATGCCTAAATATTACGTGTGTGTTTGTTAGGCGTCTCATGTGGTCTATCATCTCTCCTTTCATTACCCTATAAATCATTCTCACAAGGTCATCCTTTGTACCGTATGGGATAATGGGGAATAGGTTTCTCAACTATTATCTCGCCCCTACTCCCTTGGCAGAGCTCATGGACGGCCAACAATACCAGTTGACAGGAGCAGCCGTTCTTCGAAAACCCTCGGTCATGTCAGCATCTCAACACCAGCAACAGCAGCAGCAGCAGCAGCAGCAGCAGCAGCAGCAACAACCAGTGATGATACAGCAGCAGCAGGCACAGGTCATGTCTCTGGGACAAGAGACCTTTGGCTTCGAGCCTCTCGAGAGTCAGGTCATTCCATCCGCCCTGCTAGAACAGCAGACGCGTGCTCCCGAGCCCTTTACTGGGTCCAGTTCACAGGCCCGTGGAGCTACAATGCAGGAGGTTTTTATTCAGGTTGGTGTTTGGGCATAAGTAAACTTGAAAAAATTGTACCTTATAGTACTGTGTAAATTTTCAAGACGGTAGAATGGCGAAATTGTAAGTTTTCCAAAAAAGTGGTTATAAATAATCCCCTTGATCAATTGGAATTGTTTTACCTTGAAAGCGGATGCATTTTGAAAACAATATGTCGTTAGGACGGGTTACTAATTAACCGAAGTCTTGTTTCCAGTTTATACTTGCTACTATTGCTGAGTCTGGAATTTTGTGCTTTAAAACGGGAATTGGTTAGGCACCTAATGGTTAAGCCTTCACGATTGTGGTGATTAGCGGATTTAACACGGTTTCGAACCCGCAGAAGCTTCTCAAATAGCCTCTTGTATAGCATTTGAGAAGGACTTATAATGTGGTAGCGGCAATTTACATCCGGCAGTGGTTTAAATAATTTGGTAATGGTACTTTCGAGGTTGAATCACTATCAGGAAGGTTGACTATTCTGGAAACTGAAGTATTGCGTTGCGCTATGGAAAAGTTTGCTTAAGGTCAACGTGCCGAGAAAATTTCCACGTTAAGGCTCAGTGTGGATGATGAGGCAATTAGCATTCCCCTACGTCAACTGAAAAGTCGTTGTGGAAACTAAATATATGAGTTTCATGTGTCAGTAAGCTTTTCCGGAATCCCACGCTGTAAAAACTTGTCGTGTACCCCAGTTCGTTAACTACTTTGTTCACGATGGAAAGGGATTTTTTTGTTTCAGTGTCCGTTAAGGGAGGGAACATGTCTTGATTTATTCCCAAGTGGGCACAGTACTTATTCGCCAAAAGGGTGTGCTTACTTTTTGTGTGGTGCACTAAAAAGCGCCCTCGACACTTCTTGAGAAACAATCAGGGCCAGTCAGTCAATGGGGCGAAAGTCTATAAATTATGCGACCTCATACGGCAAAGCTGCTCTAGGCGAATATTTGCACTTTAGGGTGGAATGGAAGACACCGTCTCCTCGTTCGCATTCGCCATACTTTTCTTTAAGCAATGCGCATCACGATTGCTTGATATTCGCCAATTACTTGCGAAATGGAATCGACAGTTAGAAAATGAAGCCGCTGTAGTTAATGGGAAGGGGCCTCCAGTTTTTTCCTGCCTTTGGGGGCGAGGTATTTTGTGGAATTGAGATTTGCGAGCAAGCTCCTCACTGAGAAGGGATTATGGGTCGTACTGATGGCTGTTTCACTCAATAAAGTATTTGAAGTAGCTTTCTACAGTTATTTGAGTTCTGCTAAAAAAATGTCTCTTAAACCCATTTGCCTACCTTTCTATTTGGACTGATTTACCCACTACTGTAAAACCCGTAACTAAATGTCATTAGCTGTTATGTTCCTCCTCATGAGCAGCGTCTTGCCTGAAAGATACCCGTGTGGGTTGGATTCACGATGAGTATCCGTAGAGGTATAGATGGTACCTAACCTCATTTGCGAAAACTTTTCCGATACATAATGTCCTTTATCATTTTAGCTAGTTTGAGAAAAAAAAATGTTGATAGAAACTCACCACAGCCTCTGCAAAGAGGAGTGTAAAATTTAACTCTAATTGTCGTCCAGATGTCCTTGACTTGGATGATACTTTTTTCCTGTTTTAAACCCCCTAAACCTTGCAGTACTTGTGAAGGCCGATGTCAAACCTCCCCTGACACCTTCTAGAACTTGTAATAGCTGAACCAATCCTCATCGCGGGTTCAATGAAAGCCTCTTTAATTTCTATTTCCCAAAATCCATTGTAGCTTCAAATGTTGCTAACAGAAACCCAAAATCATTCGTAGTGAAGTGTGTGGAGGCTAAACTGAATGTCCACTTTCCAAGACTCATGATAATTGGCAAAATTTCTGAAGTAAATCTCCTAAAGATGTTTGCAAAGTCATAGCTGTTACTTAGGCGCAATTTCCGCTTTCCATAGGTTGCAATGGGCTAGACAAAAAAACTTAACATCAAGAAATCCATTTAGAGCCGTTAAGTACTAACTTCGGTTTTCTCTCTGTGTAGCTCGTGCTGGCTGAGTAAATTGTTCGAACCTCAGTTCGCACCACTTATGAACTTGTGCCATCTTGAACTACTGTCAAGAGAAACGGAGAGTGTCTCATTCCAACACCTAGTTTTAAAACCCCAAAATCGCCAGCAAAAAGTTCACTAAGAGTTAGCAAAAAATATTGTGAAGTCGCACTCACCCCAACTTGGATTGATCAACAGTACTTCCCCAATAGGTTCATTAGAGGTAATCTACAAAGCCAGTGATAGATTCTGCGTTCGATTTCACCTCTGGACCTAATGTTGGTTTCAAAACATGTCAAATAAACTCCACCTTCTTCCAACGTGTGTCAGTAAGCAGAGTAGATTGGCCGATGTCTGGTCTTGATCACCATTCTTTAGAATGTGTATACAAGCTAAAGAGGGTTTGCCAGCTACTCCATCCCTCCTATCCCTTTTGAGGGCGTGGTCTCAGTCAGCCAAGTGGACCTCCTGACAGCACGTCTTCGTGGATTGTGTCGTGAGCACACTGTCTTCCTAGACCATGAGGAGGCCTTCTCAGTCCCCCTTGTCAACGCTCAGTCCACAAACCCAGTAGCCAGTGCTTCTGGCACCACCCCATTCGTTCATCTGCGTGCGCGTCGCAGCGTCCTTCCCAACGCCCGTGAACTCGGCCTCTGGCCGGTGCTACGTTATCTCGGTGCTGTGGAATCCGGCGATAGGGTGGGTGCTTTTAATGTTTGCCAACCTTGATCATTTTGGAAATAAGATATAATTCTTCTCTTTTCTTTCCATCTCAGATCTGTCGACGCAGCTATCTAGAGGCCTGTGTGAATGGGCCTCTGGTGGGGTTCCTCAAATGCATTGGCTTCAAGAAGGATTTTGAATTCCTCGCCGAAGGCGAAGTGTTCGTTCGAGGGCGTGCAAAGGTTCTTATCTACGCTGTCTTTGAAGTTGTCTACCCTAGTAGTGGAGAAATGCCAATTCCGGTAAGTTGGTAACTTGGATATCCTTGAAGCCGATTAAGGGTGAACGAGCACACATGATTTGAGGTAGCTCCACGAGGCTATTTTCTGCATTCATTTCTCCTTTTTCACTGTTTTCACGTCTCGTTTCGTCCTCTCTAATGAGTGTGATTTTTCGACGACCCTTTAGCCTCCCTCGAAGGGCCGCAATGTGGCTCCCAACAGCCTGATGGTGGAGGTGAGTGCCGTCGGCAGTCCCGCGGATGACACACTTCAACGCGAGGTTGCGGAGTTGATGGAGCTCCTTCATCCCCTTGTCATTCCTGGTCGTGTTGATCACGCGCGTTTGGCCTGCCGTTGATCTTGGTGTTGTGCCCATGTACAAATAACTTTACCTCTCTCATTTCTCCTCGTCCTCCTCCATTGTATAGACACGATCCACCTTGCATTGATTCCTCTGCTTCACGTGGAATAAATAGTATTTGTGTGCAAATTGCTGCTGATCTGCGTTGATCCACCAAATGGGCAGTTAATACACGTGGAAATCTTAATTTTAAGGTAGCTGTCAAAGCCGAATTCCGTCAACCAAGTGGTCAGAATAAACTGAAGGAGCAGATACTTATGTACAGAAGCGTTTTTCTCATGTCCAATGGAGTGACAAGCTGTGTATTTTCGATCACCGAAATATCCCCTTTACGTCTTCCCAATTTTCCAGTCTGGAGACGCTTTTCTCAAGAAGTAAAGAAACGTTTTTGCCTTCTTGAGTGAATCAGGGATGCGCACCAAATTCCGCAGCTTCTTTGTTGTTGAAAATAAGTTATGCGGAGGACTTGGGCTGGGAATAAACTGAATGAAAAAAAAAACCGTAACGGGAATGGGCATTGGCACCTCAAGGTATTCCCTATTTGTCTGCAGCCTTGCAGAATCACAAACACCCTTCAAGACTTTTTTAACCAAAAGCGATGGTGAGTAGTTTGCTGCCAATCGTTCGGGGTGTGCCACCTTCTTGCAATAAGGAAACCCTGTTCATTCCCAAACCATGGGCGCTAAACTTACTGGATCCTAACTGACCGAAAAGGAATCTCAATGAAACGTATTCACGATTGCACCGACCCCAACTACCCGCCAAGACTGACGTTACAGCTAAAATATCATAGGCATACATTGTCCAGTTAAAATAGAATGAAGCAAATATTTGATCCATATCTGAAGCTAGAAAAAAGTGGTAGACGATCTGATACCATAGCTACAAAAGCAAGATCGTCTAACGCAGTTTTGTAAAAACATCATTGACGAAAGAAGCGATCCACGCACCCAACTGTTCCTACGGCACGTACACAGTCTTACACTCAGCTGCAGACTACGAAAAGTGAACTTAAAATGCGTCTCAATTGTAATATATCGAAAAAAGACCCCAAAGCACGTTTTTTTCTTTCACGGTTTCAGCAGGCCGATAGGTCGACAATCCCCTTGACATTAGGATAGCAAAATGCACACTTGATTGGATATTCTAAAGTTCATATTCAAAATTGTGCAAATGTGGCACGATATAGTAAATCTTATCAAAAGTCTTAAGAAAACATCAATGGCAAACTATTAATCCCCACATTGGTCCACCGTGTCCGGACGTGTTTCTGTGAGTTTAAGCTGCGCCTCAGTTGCATAGAAAGTCTCTGGACTACCACTGTTCATTCGACAGAGACTAATCACATCAAAGACTGTCCCTTCTGTGAAGCAAAGATCCCCAAACTCCGTTAGCAGAGGTGTGGCATTGAAGTAACGACGCTTGAGACGTCGACGCTCCGGACCACGGGTTCGATATAGCTGCTTCTTTAAGGGATTGTACGAGTTCATGAGAGTCATGTGAAGTTTCACATCCGTCTCTGCCGTTGGTGTCTGCTCCACCCCACTGTGCAGACCGTACTGGCGGTAGAGACTCGAAATCGCGTTTGCTATCGCCTGGAGACGCGCATAATCGCCGTCCCTCTGCACCTGTTCAAGGAAGTAACAAGATGTCCTGGGGATTTTCTCATTCTGACAATAGTTCTGAATTTATTCACTATGTTTACTCAAGAAACCAATTGATAGATCCATTCCAAACCTGATTAGATAATGGCTCGAAGAATAAGCCACATTCTTATGCATTCTTCGTTATTCACATTTGTTTCTCGATTTTCGTCACACAATTTTCTCTCTCCCCAATCACAGCTCGCTTCCATGAACAATTTATCCATATCTGCGAAAATAATTCCGTTTCTTGTCAAAATTCCACAGACTCGAAGTAAACCCTCTGGTTGCAATGCTTAGAAAACATGAGAAATGGTTATGATAAAGTGCTTCCGGGTGGTATAGCTAGCGACTTCACTCGACATCACTGCCTTTGCTAGCCATCAAATGGAATGACCGTCAGCTTTTACCCGTTTTAAGTTTTCTTCATACGGCAGTTAAAAGCGCGGATACTATCTGTAATAAACAAGGTTAAATAAACAAGGCTTGCCTTCAATCGCTAAGCGAGCTACTTCTTGGGGTAGAAAAATGAAGTGTTAAGCATTTTTTGCGAGCTTAAAGCTGCCTCATACCGCAGTCTCCAGTATTACACAACCCTTCGAATCCCTTCACCGAAACTTACTGCTGGCGCCTCAAAGCAAAACCTCGACAACAGTTGTCTACTTCCACAAGCAACCTTTTGACCCAGATGTACTGAACGATGAATTCAAGCACGTAAGATCTCAAAAATGTACTTTAGGCAGTTCTCTACTAATGTTTTTGCTAAAGTTGGAAAACAATAGCGCTACTGAAAATAACCTGCCGCAAGTTCCAGGGATATTTAGATAAAAAGAATAATTTAAGATCAATTTAACTAGGGACTAGGTAAATAAGATGTGCTGCAAACTAACACACATGACAGAATGGCAACATTGGAGAAAGACTATCATAACAAAAAGAAGTGATCAATGATAACATCTCGAGTGTTGACCCGAAAAAAAAAACAGGGGACATCACTAGGCACAACTTGAGTAGATCTCAATAAACATGTACTAACCAAGAATGTCGAAATTGGAAAAAACTATATACAAGGGAGTACAAATATCAACGGTTAGAACAAAGGTCAAATAAACCAAATGATACCAAAATAAGCTGCGAAACTCATTAAGAGCCACTTAAATTCAACCATATTACAGAGGATGATATTGGCCTAAATATTCTTTTCCATTGCAATAAATGCATCAAAACATGTCCTACTTACCATTTCTCAAAAGCGATTAAATGGATTTAAACTGACTACTACTTAACATGGTATAATCGAAATCGAGGGAAAAGACTTGCTCAATGTGTAAAGATACTCAAGATGTCTTGTATTTATTGGGAATCTAAGAGCTCAAAAAAATAAAGACAAAGATCCCATTTGACAATAAGGAATAAGTAACCATAACACCCTTAGATAGGAATAAGGTTCTCAAGAAGCGCGATAAGAACTGCAGAAAGGATCTACAAATCCAAATTTAGTACACTACTTTAATAGATAGATACCAAGAAACAAAAATTGAAGTGACAAGTGAGACACCATTAGAGAATGATATTCGTTGAGGTATACTCAAAGTGACGTAACTAAAGAAATTGTATTTAATATTTGCCGTCCATTTCGATATACATGCCAGAAGTTTTGTCAATTAATCCTTCTGAGGTCGAAATTCCGTGCGCCAAATATACCACCTCTAGCCTATACTTGCCCTCATAACAAAATGAAAGACTGCGTGACTTACGGTTGCATAGAGAACGTGAGAATAATCAGGATTACTCTGCATGCTCATCAAGCCCCGAATGGTAATACGAAGGGGCGCAGAGGAAAGTTCCTTTCCAGCCTCTGACTCATCAAAGAAACTAACAAGCAAACGAGAGGCCTTTTCAACCTCCTTTCGGTCGACTAATAGCAGGGTGGCAAAAGTGAAGTGAAGTCTATATTCAGAGGTAAACAAGTCCTCATCGATACCTTCATATAGACGGTTTTCTTTGGCCCTTTCCAGCACCTTCGACTTAAAAGCTTTAAAAGTTTCCACTGATGTGCAATCCTGGATGGGAAGGCAAATGAAGTGAGAGGGACGAAGCTTGGGACGTGTGGTTGTGACGATGTCGTTAATGCGTCCCACTACGCTATCGATTGTGCCCTGTGACTCAGCCGTGATCCTTATATCCTGCGACTTTCCACAGAGAGGAAACTTTAGCTTGCAAGGAAACTCGCTAGTCAGACTGCTTCTACCGATGAATTTATGAAAAACTCGGGGGACGTAATAAGAGGATGTCACTTGTCCCATACCAGGCGAATTAGTGGGAGAAATTTGGGATGAACCATCATAAATACTTTCTTTTTTGAAAGATTCCAGAACCTCTTCAGCTGTTTCGCTTAAACTCATCAAATCCAACAAATTAGGAATCTGGAAGTGACAGTTATGAAAGCACAAAACCTAGACATCCCCACTGAGCGCCACAAAAGAATAGGGCACTTAAAGACGATCTACATCAATAATTATTCTAACTACTTCAGTCAAGTTTTTGCAGCAAAGCATTAATGTAAATTAATCATGTTTGATACTACTCCTGAAATTGTTATTACAAGAGTGCACTACTTGAATTTTGGAGTCAAAGTGTTAAAGGGTCATTCCTTGCCAAAAAAGTTTGTTGTTTTACACTAATTAGCGAGTAAATATGCACTGACTTTTCCTGTTAGATCAGCGTTTACCAAGTGTTTGGGTTTAGCTTCGTTTAAAATAGTTGGTTCATTAAGGACTGGTGGAAAACAGCAACAAATTGAATGAAAAATTGGGGTGGTCGAAGTATACCGTCATTTGGCAAAGATTTGTGTACTTACACTTTGTAAAATACAATTGCGATACTCTATTAGTTTGCTAAGCTCTTCATTTCATCAGGCAAAATCTATGCAGTCTTACCTGAATTCAAGAGTGGTCATAAGACTAGCAAGGAAATGTATTACGACGTAAGTAAGGACTAGGAGGAGGGGAGCAAATGCCATCGTCAGGGATTCATGCTGCACTATGGCAGAGTCGTAAGTGTTCATGCAACTGAAAGTGGGAGTTAAACGAACAATTAAATTATCGCACGTAAAACTTCACAAGTTGCCACAACAAGTGGTATGACACATAAGCCACGTTTTTAGGCTCATTCATTCTGCCATTATGTCATAACTTCTCACTACTTCAGAAAACCATGGTTGTAGATAAACTGATGTAGCATGCCCAACGTAGGTATCACGAATACTTAAATTAATCTAGTGCAGTTAACATGTGCAGACAACTGTGGTTTCCACTGGACTGCGTTAAGATTCTAACACCCCTTGCCTATAAAGGCCAAGGTTATTGCAAATGATATCATTTTGGAGCACTCACCAGTGTGCCACGAATCCTGTGATGCACCTTTTTTTATAATCCAATGTGTACTCTTAGAAGTATGGCGTTTGTTTTTACTCTAAGATGGTATGCACTGGTGTTGCATGATTCGCACATCCTTGAAACTGTGCTATTCATTGATTTGGTGCAATGCAAAATCGAGTATAGGCGCATGCATTACTTGTTTGTTTAAATACAGTTTTCAGACGCGATGGGATGGGTGTGCATGAATGTAGTTGCGGAAATATCGCCATTTACTTTGGGGGATACATGTATTCTGAACTCTTGCACCTAAGATTGCTCAGCCCGGTTTAAAACGTCGTTGACACAAAATGCTTTTGTCTAGTCGGCCTACCCGTTCCAAGGGAATGAATGCCGGGGTGGAAGAGATAAAGTGTGAATTGTCACATAAATCATTATGTACGTGAAAACATCCTAACCTAACTGTAATTTCCTCATCAAGTTCTTACAATTTCTAAATAAAATTAAACACCTATCTTTCTATTACACTTAGATTATGCATGAATGACTATTCAGAAGCATTGTTTAGCTCATCTGATTGGCCTTAAGACACCACCGGCTTCTTCAACGCGTCGACGCTTAAATATGAGTCGAGGTTGAAATTAAACTCGTCACTGAAGAGGGGTGATGACATCTAAATCGAAAAAACTTCTGAAAGTCATTGATGGGCTTCGTGCTTGGAATTTAGCTGCTACTATATCAGGCAGCAACCAGAAGTCAGGAATTGATATCAAAGAAGTTTTAAAAAGCGATCATTTTCAACTAGGCACTGTAAGACATGGGGTTCAGTCTTAATTTTTTATTTAGATTGTTAAGCACGGATTCCCATACCAGCCTTTGTGCATGGGATTTGACCCAGTCCAAAGGATTTTGGCTGTTGGGACTATGAATGGGTGCATTAAGTTGTAAGCAGTCCATTCGGCGTCAGCTGTGACTTTCGCATCAACACTATGACTTTCTGTTTTAGCACCAAATTAGTTCACTTAATGACGCGTGAAGATAACACGACTTCTTTGTTGCCCACCATTTACACATATTTTTTAATTTAATTCATATTTGCCCTTTGGGTCTTTATAACCACTTCTGCTTACCTGACTTCTAAAGCATTTTTAGAACTTATGACTGCAATCCAACAAATACTGGCTGTTGCTGGAAAGTTAGCTGCAAACTGGCTACTTTGAAAGCGTACTCGTGACATATCCCATATTGCTGCGCTCTTTAGCCAACATTTTTTTTTCGAATTTTTTTGCATTTAAATATATTGCCTAGACTGCAAGTGAAAATTTTAGATTTGGAAGACCAGGAGTTGAATTCCATCTTGAACATCCTTCCTCTGCTGCGGTTCTTCAACTGATTTTTCTCGTCAACGAGGTAAATGCCTTACGAGTTTGCAAACATTTCTTAAAATATCTTTACTGTAATACTTAACTCCAGAATTACTACATCCTGTTTTTACGCGACTTGCATATGTAGCACTTAGATCAGTTTTACGGATCTCTTGTCCATTTTTCCAGTGTCTGTATGCCTCTCGTACACTACTTCCAATTCAAATTCAAATAATTAATCTATAGTTAAGGAAAGTGTAATTTTTTAGGGTGGATTGATTTCAATATGCCAAGACGATATCGTTCATCTTTGGAATATTCGTCAAAAACCGCCTGATATTGTTCATTCTCTACATTTTAAACGCGAAACGTAAGATTTATTTATCCATTGGATAATTTTAGTTATTGTTCAAGTTAATGATTGCACTAAATCTCACATTTTATTGTTCACTGAGTTAATTGTTTAACTGTTGCAAAATTTCATTCCCTAGGATCCACAACTACATAGAATCAGCTCAATCATGTTGGCTATTTTTACATCTTTAGACAAAAGCAATCGTGTTTTCGAAATTTTGTTCATAACTGCTACCAAAAAATCCTACCTGACTCACAATATCTCAGCTAAACACGTTGATTCATAGATTTGAAAGTCGCTCTTCCTAAGGAGACGCGTTTCTTTTCTCTCGCAGGTAAATGACCACTTAAAACATCTAGTTATGCCTGCTCTGTATGACCTCACTTAACATAGTTTTCTCATAAAAACTGCTACGGGCATGACAGAACTTGCTCTTTTCTTAATCGTGCTTGTTCGTTCCCACACTGTCTCATCTTCGGTCACGTTCACTTTGTTTTTATCTTGCTAATGCTTATCTACCTCCTTCTTCGAGCAAAGTAGTGCGGAAATCCTTACCTAGACTGATTCTCCAGGAGATTTCTCATAGAGAAACCAAGAATATAGACTATTGGAAAATGGATATTTCCAGTTTCAAGAGGTGTATTTGGGAGTGTATTTAGATTTATTTCTACCTTTGTCATTCAAAACGATGTGCAACTCGATGTCTGATGATGCGTGGCTAGTTCGGACGACTTCTGCCGTCGAAAAAGTGGTCATTAATTGGACTAATTAAGATTGGATTAAACCATGTCTTTCATAGGTTTCGATGGATTGGGGCTTTCTGGTCTGCGTTCAAAGTCCGAAAGTTGTATGCGCACGCCCGAATTGCGTTTCATTTTTTTGTTTTGGCAGATGGAGAAATAAGTGGTCAATTTGCCATGCATGACGTTTGTATATTGTTTGTAAGCATCAAAGGTAGCTAAATCAAAGGGAAGGATAAATATCTTCAAGGAATTTATTGTAGTTTTTTGGTAAAGTTTGTTTAAAACATGTCTTTTCAAGTCCATTCTGAATGATTCTCTAGCTGCAGGAGACGTCCAAGTGCGGTCTGTGCTTTTTTCCGGTTGATTACGTTTGTGGTTCTAACCTCTCTTTCTGTTACTGTTTCCCATCAAGCAGTGAGACCGTTATTAATTGATGCAATTTTATAAATATTCTCTTGAGAAAAAAGGCTTGCACCCGCCTTAACTTTAATTCCACTTTTCCGGTGGAATTATTTGTATTGAACACATCTAAAATGAAAACATATCTTTTAATTATTGTATCTAATAAGTTCTGCGATATCTACCATATTCCTTACATAATTTCATTTCGTAATTTGAATAGCTACAGAGTTAACAGTCCTAAGTCCCCTCGAAGGCTCTTTCAACTAACCACCTGTAGTTACTTTGCCTATCCAAAAATAATTTCGACATCTCACGCAATTAGAAGCCATTTCTTATGTCATCATCTCATTTTCTTTCGCTTTGCATTGGTAGATGTATGCTACCTCTTAGAAGACTTGTTTCGGCTTCAAAATAAATCCAATTTGGAATCACAGCAGAAAATTAAATCAAGCTTAGATAACACCTTAATGGTATATTTTGTTCAAGGATGCAATAAATTTTAAAGATTGCGACAAGCCGTGGGAAATTCTTTCTTACCAACGAACAGGAGATTTAAGGACCGAAAAAAGGCATACCTCCAGAAAATGGTTTGCCATTTGCCCTGAGAAAATAACAAGAAGGAGTAGCGACGCATAACTTTTTGGGTAGTCAAAATAGTGGTAGATGATTAAGATTCCGTCAGTTAATCCCCTCTAATCTTCCGATTCCTTCTATGTCGCGTTCGTTTGCATTATGATCGTGTTAAGAAAAAAAAATTTTCTTATTTAGTTGTTCCTTTGAATAAAAGAATGAATAGATGAGACCTAAGTCATAATTGCTTGGTTAGGAGCGCTATCAACGCGAATATGAGAAGGCCTTGGTGCAATTTTTTCAAATTCTCGTCTTTTTTATGATCGTTCTTTGCGCTACGTGAACTCCTCGCAGATTTCCATTCATGAAAAACTGCTGCTTTCTTGAACTATCGCCTTTTTTCCGTTCATTATTGAGCTTAGTACCATGAGTGGCTAAAATGTCACGGGAATTTCCCTAGTTTTCCGTAAATCTGTCATCTGCTAAGGTTTTTGTTAACGCAACTGCACCCAATACATTATCACAGTGGAATCGCACAATTCCTTCACACCTTTTCAAAAAGAACATTTTTCTCATGACTACGTTACGAGTCAAGTACAGGAGTGTAATGACTTCCATCCCTTCAAGCTGTCATCTTTAATCAAGACTCAGGCATGCAAAGGCTGAAAATGGTTAAAGTAGGGGCTGCCTTGTAAGCTCCGCACCTAAATATATTCTAGTGGTTGTCTGACCTAGTCTTACGGTGAGATATATCATCAATGAAAAGAAACGCGCCATTCCACGGACTTTTGAATCAATAAAAACCAGAATACCCGTATGAGTTACTTGTAGAAAAGGCTTTGGAATCTGAATGAATGGAACGTAATTTTTCCTTTGTAACTGATGGCACTTCCTTGAGTGACTTGCTCAAGAAGATGCAATCGTAGCCTAATAAGATCCAGACAGTGCAACCAATTTGCCTTAAAGACCGAAGTATTAAGAACTTCAAGGGGCTGTTTTTTTCTTGATGCATTCGAGCACCAACGACTGAGGCGAATAGTTTTTGCCAAAAC